AATTGATGAAAGGTAATTTAAAATGAAGACACCCCTCACATTTAATAACCCTTGATGAAATTGATGTGCAGTTTTACATCACCACAAAATTTGACTAAATGCGTCACCCCTCTCCCTTGGTAGGGGGCCTATATAAGGAAGGGGACTATTTATTTGTCTATTGGACATGTGCTGGTAGATTATCAGGGCATTACCAGGTACAAATTGAAGAAAACTGGCAGGGCTCAAAGAAATCCCATGTAAGGTTCCATATACATAAACGTTTATATAAATAAATTGACATTGGACTCTTGCCATGTTGTCTCTAGACATTTTGATCAGGTGTTATTGTGTCACGGGTAGAGAAGGACAAAATCAGCTGAGTTTTTACGCATTACTGGTTCAAAGCATAAACAAAGCAACAGCAATTCTGTGAAAATATTAATAAAGTAATTTTTTCTTCATTGGATCTTTCTTCTTATCGGAATCTGAAGACTTTTAGAAAATTGTTGCTTTTAATGACATGAATGTTGAATATATTGCACTGGAGAGGAGTTCATGCCTGTGAAAGCTTAATAAGGAGATTTTTGAAATTCAACTGCAAGAATTTTACACTCCATAAATTTTCTCATTCATTATTCAAAAACGTAAGTACTGATGTAATTTTCTACAGTATGTTGAACTTCTATTGCCCTTCAGAATAGACTTGGATGTCTGTTCTAATTTTATTATAATGTGTACTTATAAAGTGCAATCCATTTTTTTTTTTAAGAAAAAAGAAACAGTTTCCATTTTATAATAACTGATTTGACTGAAACTTAAAAATATATGTATAGTTAAATTTTATATAATGAAGTTTGTCTGATATTTGTTGGCATTCATCCATTTATGAAAACAAACTTTCAAAAAAAAATGTATTTATCGATCCATGTATTTATTGTATTGGCGTTATGCAATATATTTTCAACAGTGAAATACTGTGATTTATTTATTGAATAAAAGTGATATTCTCTCGCAATGTGAAAGGATACCAAAATGATATTCTCTCACAGTGTGAAAGGATATCAAAGTAAGTAAAAAGTAATTTCTGGCCTGTCATAAGATAGAGATAGTAACTAAACATCTTGATAGAGCTAAAACTGCAAATTTCTTCCCAAATATGTTGCTAAAATCCATGCTATGTAATGTTTTCAATCACACAACTGCTAAGCTATGACATCTCAACCGCCCAACTATGACATCAAGTCTATGACACTGTGTTAAGAAAAGACAGAGGCAAAGGGAAAATCAAAGAAAATGTAATAAACAGAAAATTCAATGTTTTGTAGATGAATATGGAATTTATTTCACTCGTGAGACAGGATTTTTTTATATTTTCACGAGTGCGAAGCACGAGTGAAAATATAAAAAAATCCTGTCCCACTTGTGAAATAAATTCCATATTCATCTACTAAATATTGAATATCCTCCATTTATTGTTTTAGTATAATGGGACTTAGTACTAGCTACGAGTAATTTTCTCTCTTTAAATGCATACACTTCATCTTAATTTGATAATATATGATTTATACATATTTACACAATCAAAAGAGATTCTTCTCTGGGCATTGAAGATTATAAATGATACACATCACCATGGATTTAATATCTTTAAGGTCACCAGGAATATAAAATTTTCAGTGGGAGTTAAATAAAGTCTTACTTGGGTTACCTCATCTCTAGACCTGTTTTAGTCATCCATATAACCATGGACATTACATACAATTGGTCATCTAATAATCCCTAATCCCTGTTTATACCTGTGTAAGTTTCTAGTTTTAGAGCCATGCGTAACTATATACCCCCTTACAAGTGCTCATTAAAAGTCTAATCCTATAATTCTCCCTCCCAAAGTCTGTACAAGGTGCAAACTGTGCTGTTTTTTAATGTGTCAAGTGTTGTTCATTTTTATTACCTGCACACCAAAGATATTTGTACAAGATTGTTAGCTAAATATATTTTACAAAATAAAGAAAAACTGGAATCCAACACCGCAAAGTTCAAATTGCAGAAGATTCTCACGAGTAGCAATAACCCTTACAGGTGCAAATATATATTTTGTTAAATTGTTTATGATCAAAATTTGAAGGTTATAGATAAACCTGAGAGTCTGATATATCTCCAGTCAATGTTTATATTTACCTATACAATATTAAGTCAGTTATCAACATATTTTTCTTTAATTTGTAGGTGTGACTATTAACATTTCTATATCTTATCTTAAAAAGAATTTAATCTCATAATATTGTACATGTATAGGTACTTGGCACATACATCATATCTAACTTGATATCATATCTATAAGTCAAGAAGAACTCTTTTTTTCTCTCTTTAAATTGAGAGATGGATTTTAGCTGTATTGCAGTTTTCTTATGAAGTGATTAAAATTGTATTACTATGTCACATTTAAGGTAGATATATAGACAAATTATGATAATGTCTGTCTGTCTGTCCATCAAGCTGTGTTCATGTCTGTCATTTTGAAATGGGACTTTAATTTCATCATCATGCAAGCACCATGATTTAAGAAATAATCCATAAATGGCTGGGTTTATTATTTTTTTTTTTATTGGGCCTTGGGGTCAAGATCACTTAAAGAAAAGAAAAAAAAAAACCTGTGTCATGAGGTCAAACAAATGATATTGTTTTAATGTGTACATCTTTTTGATATTAAATATATGTACTAGCTGGTAATCTGACATTTCATCAGGGTGGGGTAGTTAAATGATGAAAGAAAATCTAAACTTGTCAAGATTCTTAATCTCAGAACTTTGGTCCATACTTAGCAGAAAGAGTGTTATTCCAATCAGTGATCTCAGTGATATGATATCAGTAAAAATCACATAGCAGATTAAAATTTATGCTATTTAATGGATTGTTGAAATTTTAAACTTTGTAAGTATAGTCTTTAAAAGGATCCCTTTTTTTCAAATTTGACCATCGGTAAATAAATAGTCATAAAAAGTACAAGTAACATGCAGAAAGATTTTGCATATAAGTTTAAGATGGGAAGAAGAACATAAGAAGCCATTTTGTTATTGTGAAGTCTTACACTGAAATTAAGCACCATTAACTAATCTTTGACTTGATTTACACTTGAAATATACTGGGGGTAGGGGGGTAGGTTTTCAAAACTTTTGTCCAATACTATAGTTCTTATACACATGTAATAAAGAATCTGCTTTTTTTCCCTTATATTTCAGTATATGTGCAATATACATAATATATGCACTGCAGAACTGCTGTTACCATTAATTAATAATATGGAAATGTGTTTTATGGTAGTAGGTACCTGACTTTCTGAATTATTCATGAGTTAGTTATACCTTTTCTCTCCTTACTTTTTTGGGCAAAAAAAAAGGAAGTAAGAGTTTTAACCAGAATGGGATGTATTTTAAAGTTTATTTGCAGCAGATATAAGCAACTATGTATTTCTTGGAAAGGGGGAGGGGAGCCTAGGATGTGAGGAGAAATGAAATGCATGTCAGAATCGCAGTTTAAGCTTGTGTCATACGGAGGACTATATGTTAATTTTGTGGATGTTGTGTTTTCAACTCATTTTCTAAGTAATATCAATTAATGATATTTTAATGATGCTGCTGTATGTTCAACCGTCGTATAGGTAACTCTCATTTAGAAATATTTGCTTTCTTTTTGTACAACCTTGTACACTTTATCGATATTTCAAGAGATGCCAAACATATAATCGTTACATATAAGCACTGCATGATTCTGCATATGTTGAAAATATTAAAAACATATTTGTTTATACTTTTAAGTCTACTTGAACTGAAAGTTTAATTTCACACTTGTAAAGTTTGTATACATATAACACTCTTAAATCCACCACTGCAAACAAAATTTGTTAATATTGCTTTTAGGTCTGCTGATTCATACTTTCACAAATTAGCCAGGAATAATTTCCGAAGACCTTTGTTATTCACATGAGGTTTTAAATCGTGTCTTGGGTCTTTGTTTTGGTAAGGGCCTCTGCACTGTGTGTAAGTTTAATTAAGGAGACACATTTGCTATATCAGCTGATATAGCACCCCTAGTCTTTATATCCTTCACTGGCCGATATTTAAACTTTATGGACCCCAGCCAATTTTTCCAATGTTCGATTTTCTTTGTTTGGAAGACTTTATTTTCGAATGGTTTCGTCTCTGCAAAGGTTTTGCTTAGAAAACCACAGGTCTGTGAATTTTGTTCCAGTTTTTAATTTATGGCGTTATCAAACCTCTTTGATATTGCTTTAAATATCAAAGATGTTAGATTATTATGATTAATGTGTGTTTGACCTAGCTTTATCAAGTTTAAATTAAGAGGCATAACATATGATGTAGGGTAGTAGTGATTTGCTTGTGACTTGCAATTTTTTTCTTTATTGGGATACAAATTTTGGAAATGAAAGAAAATTAAATGAATTTGTTCATTTGTTGTATTTAGTGTTTTACTGTTTAGTAGGATGTAGTTCTAGTTTAACACAATGTGTTAAATGTTAAAGAAAGGAAAATAATGTGGTATAAACTGGGACAAAGTACAAGACAGTGTTTACTTCAAGAAGGTGCCAATTAAAGTATGTATTACTGGTAACTGAGAATTCTGTTTGCTTACCAGTTTATACTGACACCTATCCAACTCATTTGAAAAATGTACTGGAAGTGCTTTTTATTGAAAGTATATGTCCTCTCTTAAGTGTACAAGGGGTCCTGAGACAATTTTTTCCTGAAAGCAAATCTACCCATTGATATGTCTCATCATTGCATGTTTGTCATTCTCATTTTATTAAAATGTTTAAGCAAGCATGCACTTGGAGCAGAAACCTTTGAAAAGTCAGAAGGACTTGTATTTATTCTTATATCACTAGTTGTCATCTGAACTGAGACCAGATGAAGTATTTAAAGATTTATTTTATTGAACTGAACAGTTTCGTGTAATGAAAAGGAAGCTTTTATTTAATTTTGTTCATTGATGTTTCGCAGGAATTATAATAAGCTTGAAGTCATAGAATGGCATGCCGATCACTTAACAGAACCACAGTATGCCGGAAAACACTGAGTCAGAGGGTCAAGGTCGCATCGGGTCGGGTCACTCTCGGTCAGCTATGACCATCAACAAAGAGCTACAGGCCAATAAGAACAGGATTGGGTCAGCCAAATACTATGACATTGCCTCAGCTCTCATGGGTAAAGGCAAGGCTGATCTAGAGGAACTGTTTCTTAATGCCGCCAGGGTAAGTTTCCATTCCATGTTTCTTCTAATATGAAAACATCAGCAGTTTCCATATTAATTAATGTAAATGCTGTTTGACAGTTTTGTGAGGTTAGCAAGAAAGATTCATTTTGTTAGATCTTTGAAATCAAGCAGATATACACACATCTTCAGTGTATCTATAATGACCTTCAATAAAAATTATTCTTTGTTTGTTGAATTTGCAAGATTATAGAAAAATTCAGAACTTGAGTATTTTCCCCTGTATCATTTTCCCACTATTTTGTTAACAGGATGGAGACTTTGACAGGATAGAGACATTTTTACTCAGACGTAGTGATGTCATAGTCAGCATTGATGTCAAGGACAAACGAACAGGAAACACTCCTCTTATATGGGCAGCCAAGAGAGGACATACTAAGGTAGAGATTTCTATACCTATCTTAGATAAAGTGTGCAAAATTTTGTATTCTGCAAGCTGCTGTAAAATTGTGGCTTACATTAACAAGATTAAGCAATTTTATTATCTTCTCAAGCGCTGAAATAATATCTATACAACTCAATTTCTTGAAATGCAGTACTAATATACATGTGAAATCATGCAATTTCGTGGTCTGCTTGTATGAAAATTGAATGTAACTGGGATGAATTATGTTTTTGTAGATTGTCCAGTTACTGCTGAAGCATGGAGCAGACATCACTCTCCGAAACTATGAGAACCAGACAGCAGTAGAAGTGGCGTCTGCTGGAATACGGACAATCCTACTGGACTCCGTGGATCGCTCCACAGAATCATTCCATCGTCTGCTTCTACAGGCAGCATGGCAAGGCAATATCAAAGTCCTCAGGAAATTATTGGTGAGTCTAATTAAGAGTAGTGTACAAATTGCATGTCTAGGAGATTGGAACAAATTTGATACTGTATGTTTCATGTAACTCACCCTTTATTCAAACTGATGAACCATGGTTGGTTTGCTTTGTACTTGAGAGCCTTGCAGATTTATTGTCATTCAAATAGAACCATCTTTTCTGAACTTTTTTTGTAGCTTTTCTTATCAAAAACAATTTTAAGTAATTCAGAAGAGTTTTAATTGTCCTCTATCATATTCTAGAACATCCAAAAAAAGCGATGTTCTGATAATTGACATCGAAGTGGGATCAGTTGTATAGACACAGCATATATTCATCTTCACAGATAGGCCATGAAAATATTCTTGTAGGGTTCTGCTGTTTGCAATATTCGTTTAACTGTAAATTACAAGGTGTGCTAAAAGATGCAGGAGATGTAGGAAAAAATCAATAAAGTTAATAAAAAAAAGTCCAGATAAAATGTCGAAAAATCAATAGCATACCCATGTCTGCTTCACACAAATTGTTGCACTGGAGGCTACTAAATGGTGATCACTTCCTGATCAGCATGGACTTCTATAATTAGACATGATCACCTATTAAACATAACTTTGGGAAAGCCCATCCTAAGGAATGTCCAAATGGGAATTTTCCAGTAGGAAATCCATTTTGTCATTTTTTTTTATCATGGAACTTTTATAGCTAAAATCGACCGTTAAAGTTTGTACATTTCATTTAAATTTTTTCCATGATGTGCATTATTATTTGTATGACTCATATAAAGCTCATGCATTGCGAAATTTGGATCCCTGCAAAACTTTCATTTGATATATGAAAATAAAGACTTGAAATTTCATATCTATTGAAACGTTATGAACAAGAAATAAATTGAAGAAGTTACTTTATTAATTTTGCTGCAAAGTATGTCTTCAAGATAAGTCAGAGGTAATGTATAAACCAGAGTGTGAAAACAAAGAGACTCTAATCATACACATATAACTCCACCATTTAACCTGTGTTAATTCTTGATTTGTTTCTATTTCTTTTTACTTTACAGAATGAGAACAAGGTTCGAGACATTAACTGTCAGAACTCGGAGGGGCTAACTGCACTTCTACTGGCCTGTAGAGACATTCAGCTGTTTGAACGACTTTCAACACAAATGAATCGCCCCTACAACCCTGTGGAATGTGTGATGGAGTTACTTGCCCATAGAGCGTAAGCCCATATTTTTATTCTGCATATTGATCAATAAAGAACAAGATTTTATTTTTTTGTTTATGTTTCCTCAGATAAATAATTATTATAATTTTTGAATGAAGACTTGTAAATCCAAGAAAGGCTCTGTATCTGTTGGTTGTAAAATTGCTTCTTGTATCTGAAGAAATAGTTTTCAGTTGTAAACGTGCAAAAAAAATGTTGAGAAATACATGTAATTCTTATTTCAGTGATGTGCATGCACTTGATGGAGATGACATGGCTTGTTTACACTACGTATCTAAATCTAAATCTGGTCTAGCTGTGGCTGTCATGCAAGCCATACTGGCTGTAGGACCAAATATAGGTGAGTAAAGACTGTAAATAAAATACATGCTGTTCATAATCAAAAATATTCTCATTGAGAACTTGAAATGCATTGTTGCTAACAAAACATTTTGCATTTTAAGATACCCTAAGTTATTATTAAAAATTTGATGCTTTGTGCAAACTATATTACCTTCAAAGATTTGAATTTGGAATGTGTATATTAATATTCACCTTTGCATAAAAAGTTTTAAAATAAGGATTAAATTAATTTTCAGTAAGTAATTTCACATTATTGATTTTACAGAATCGAAGGATAAGCGTCTTTTTGCTCCAATACACTGTGCCTCACAGACAGGCAATGTTGAGTGTATCGAAGCATTACTGGAGGGAGGTACAGAGGTTAATTGTCGGGGATTTGCAGGTGCTACTCCCCTCCACATAACAGTAAGCATGGATTTCTTCTAAATCACTCATTTGTAAATTGTCGCATGTGAGATGCTTATCTCTGTTGGCATTTCAACACCTTAGTCATGTCATTGATTTGGATTGTGTACTGTTTGCATTAATCACCTGTATCAAGGAGAATTTTTACCTACACTTTTTTTTGTGTTCACTGTTCAAATGTAGACATGGAATTTTTTTTTAAATGAAAAATTAGCGGACTTTTGCCAACTTCTCCCCAGCAAAGGATTTTTATTTAAGGTAAAAGTCTCAGAACATAGCAGTATACATGTATCCAAGTCTTGTGTTTTTTTATTTGCAAATTTTCATTTGATGTCTTCTCAGGCATATAATGACCATGAAAAGGCAGCTTGCTCTCTGCTGAAACATGGAGCAGACGTCACTCTAACAGATGATAGAGGACTGACTGCCCTTGACCTTGCCAGGGGTCGAAAGATCAAGGCTGTCCTCAAGGAGGCCTGGACTGAGGCCACACAGTGTAGGCCCTCCACTAGTCTGGCCCCACTGAAAACTCCAGGGAGGGAAGATGTCCGTTTGTCTACTGAGGATGGCAAAAAGAAGAAGCGAGGAGGAGGGGAAGTGATATTTGATGTAAGGTTCTTCCTCAAGTTCTGATAAACAGGATGTTGAGTTACAAATTTTAAAATGGTAAACGCAGCACTTCTAATACTGGTTTGTAATATTGAATGATTATATTTTACTTTTGCAGGCAATGCCAACCAATGTGTTTGCCAACGTGAAGTCTGCTCCAAGCAGTAAGTTTACTTTCTTGTACATCTGGAAAGAAGATTTTGTGCATCAGTTTCTTGTTTATGAAAAAGTGAGGCAAAGGTTATGCTTTGGATTGTTTATCTTTGGATGACACAATGTATACCAACAGTACATGTGCCTGTTTACATTAAATTAGCATGTTTATAAGTAAGTTTATTTTCTGAGAGTGTTATTTATTTGTTATTTCTTCAGGAGGGAAGCCACTTTCAAGACACTTGAGCCTGAGGGAAAAAGCCAGACTAGCAGAAGAGAGCATGCTTCAGGACATTGAAAATGGCAACTTTACTCCTGGCCCCTATCTTAGGTATTCCTCTTTTACATGTGTGTGTTATATTGTTGTGTGCTTTCAGTATTAACTACTGCATTCAGTGGACACAAATGTACCACACTTGTGTTAATGGTTTATGTCACAATCTGTTTGGACACATTTTGTTGTCATTGAAATGGAAGAATTTAAAGTTCAAAACTCTCACTTCACCTCTGTGGTAATATGACACCTTCACATGTATTTAAAGAATTTTTCATCAATACAAATTTAATAGGGTTGTTTACACCTGCCTATTTATGTGTATTGAGTACCAATTGACTCATTCATGTATGACTTACACTATCACATTTCTCTACACCTTGAAACCAAAGCTTAAAAATCACTGTGTGCAGGGTCACTGACTCTTAACTTGCACTTCTGCATTCTTTGTTCAGCACACCAAATGATAATGACCTGAGTTCAGTCAGTCGATCTACATGTAGGGATGGAGTAAGAAAGCTAGGAAAGGTCAGAGGTCAAAGGGTGTCACCTTCACCTATACCAAAAGCCAGATCCAAAGAGAGGCTGCCCTCCATCAGTCCAGACAGAGGGCTAGACAGGGATTCCCCAACATTCAGCAGGAATGGAAAGTATCGACGATCATTTGATGAGGGCAAGATTGGTCTAGGAAGAGGAAACAAGCCAGGTATTTGTAACACTTAGAATGTTGTGCAGACTAAAGTAGACTAAATGAATAACTGGATTTTGTTTTTTATATGTATAATACATGTACAAATAGTTTAATTGAAAAAATGTTTTATTTGGTGAAAGGGACAGAATCATATGAAGTTAATGAATTGAAGAAACTGTTTCATATTCATAAATACCTGAACAATTTTGTAGTTACCTACCCTGGTCCAAATAACAGGAGTAACAGGGTGTCCCCTTTGACAGTAAAAGAAAACACCAGGACCTCCCCCCTCACTATTGTTGACCCTGATTTTGACCAGTGTATGCAGATCAACAGGTATGTTGTAAATAAATAAATAGTAAGAAAAATTTTCTTCTATTTTTCTCTCCCTTCTTGATGGTGGATTTCTGGAGATAATCTATTGCAGCTGGTTTGTATAAATCAGTAATGTTGTCTGAATAATCCGTTAAGAACTAGAGATTTATAATTTTCTTATTTTTCTTGTTTCCCACCTCTAGAGGGTCTGAGTTTCATGCCTCTTGATTAAAATTGAATTTTCTATGATGATTAGTTTCGGCCGTAAAATTAAACTGAAATTCATAAAAAATTTAATCACATACATGTAACTTGAAAGAGAGTCTGTGTAATGTATATGCTTTAATTCTGTTTCAGAATGCAAGTTCCATCATCTCCTACCCCTAGCACGAGTAAGAACTATAAACATCATCGTAGATCTGGTTCAGACACTATTGCCAATGCTGGTGACCTGGCCATGACCTGTGACCTGTATATAAATAAAGGTGAGTTGATATTGTGTTATTTTTTATGCTTTGCCTTTGTTGATTCTGTAAAATAATAATTTTAATTAGGGTGATGGGATTATTATTACTAACTTTAATATTGCAATGATGTTATTTAGCTCTAACACCTGGAAATATCTATGAGAAAGAGTTGTAATTCTCATTTTGAAAATTATTGTAATCAATGTGCTACTATTTTGATTAACCTCAGTAATTAATTAGCATAAATATTCAAGTAGTAACACAATACATGTACTTTCCTTTGTTTATATTATCAAGGTATTTCACCCCTAATAGGACCTAATTATACAATCACTTATAAAATACTTTGCTATAGATTGAGCATTTAAAAATAAGAAAAGATTTACCAAGAGGAAAAATTTTCAAAGATGTAATAACCTCATGTAAGTAGTAAATAATCAACAAAGATTGAACTTGGGTCTATGTGGACTGACAAATTTTTAAAAATAAATTTCTAAATAATAAGAATATCAATAAATTCTTTTGGGAAAGATGTTATTTTATCATTAGGGATTGAATAACAATCGATAACAATTTTTTAACCAGGTAGATTTTGGGGGAATTGATTTTTTACTGATTAAAGACAAAGGGAGAAAACTCTTCAAGGACAGGTCAAGGTCATAAATTTGGACTCATTTTGCTCCAATAAATGGGAATTTGATCTAAATTTCCTGAGTATTCAACCTGTACATATCTGTTTTGTATTTAATTTCATTGAATCTGAGGGTATTAGGGATGGAATACCTTGAGTATAAAATTTTTATTGTGTCTGTATTTTAACATTCCCAATCCTGTATTAACCCTGTCTGTTTGCCTGTGTTTTAACATCAGGTTCTGTTAACCCATTGCATCACAGTGAGGAATATTACAGTGAATGCACTTCACCACGTGTCACAAAGTATCCCAGAAGGGAGACAACTCAGTACTCCCAACTGCTAAGGGAGACAACCCAGAAAAGTCTTTATAATCAAGACAGATCTAGCTATTCTTGTAATGCAACTTGTGAAGTGTCACAAATCTTGGACCTGGGTAATTGTCATAATTTTACTAAATTTTAATAAGTTTTTTTTTTTGCATGTGGTTGTTATGGTTTGTATTTGCTTACAATAAATCATTTTTATTGGTTGAGACTTAATTTTGTGAGACAATTGCATTGCATTCCTTAGACATGGTTTTTACATATTGTCCACGTAAGGAAAAAAAAAAAGAGAATTACTTATTGTTATTATTGAGGAAAACTATTTTTTTTGCGTCTAGACTTTTTTGCAAAAGTATTTGTTAATAAAATCTTGCGAATTGTATTTGATATATTTTGACATTATCTGTGATGCAGAGTGAGACCTGTCCACAGAAATTTGGACTTTTCTTCATAGTTATGACTTTGTTCTCAGAAATTTTCACCAATGAAAATGTTTCACTGCTAATAAAAATGTGGCTTCGATATGTTATGTGTACTTTGTGATTAATTGTAGATCGAATGGGACTGACTAACAAATGTCCACAGACACCTGTTCAAGGTGCCCCCCTTTATCCAACTTCATCCACCATCCTCCCACCTACCCCTACCTTACTCAACCAGCAGACGACAAATGCTCACCTAGAGTGTGCCATGACAGAGCCCCAGCCATCAGATGACTCCAAGGTACATACATATAAGAAAGTAATGGTTAATTTTGCAAGTTGTCTTATGTAGTCTTCAAAGATGGGTAAAATATGTAACTTTACTCTCTTTAACTTCCAGGACCCGTCACCAAGATCTGATGAGGATGAATTGATTAAGAATAAGGAAGTTAAGATGGCTTTTGCTGGGACCATAGAACTCATGAGAAGCAGATCTATCTACAAGGATGAGTTCATCCTTGAGGAGAGTCGTCCTCGAGATTTGTCCCTCAGATCCTCCAGTAGTGAGGATTCACACATCAGCAAACGATCACTTTCTAGCAGAAGCTCTTCAGGAGAACCACCCATCAAAGAGAATTCTGGGAAGACTTATAAACCAGTAATGAATACAAATCAGAAAAATTACATTAAACAACCACTCAGTGCTGCAACTCAGAAAAATGCAACAAAGCAACCAATTTCTACTGCTGCAACACAGAAAAGTGCAACAAGACAACCAGTTTCCAGTGGTGCCATTCAGAAAAGTGCAACAAGACAACCAGTGCCTGGCACATCAACTGCAAGAGTTGAAACTCAACCACCAATTTCTAAACCATCAAGTGTAGGTTCAAACAAACTGACACTCAGATCAAAGCAAAAATCTGTGACCTCAGAGTCACGCGGAGCAATATATCTGGGAAATTTGAATAATGAAACTGATAAAAGAGATGCCCCAGGTGTATCAAATTCTGCTGGTAGTTCAAAGAGTTCTTCAGCTCAGAGCAGAATCACTGTGCACTCCAGACATCTAAATGAGGGTCTTGTCAATAGTAATGTACAGGGCAACAACACTGACAGCAAATCAGGACTAATGCAGGTTGTGTCATCACAGCTGCTGTCAAATGTTAAAGATGAGATCAGGAAGAGAAATGAACTCCTACAAGACAAGGCAGAAGAAACAACTGTTGTAAGTGAGGTCAAACCAGAGGAGAAAGAAAGTGGTAAGGAGGCATTAAAGAAGCTAGCTAAGAGTGAATCTAATGTGCTTGCATTAAAGCCTGGTGAGAAAGAAGCAAGTGTACCCAGACCTGCCACTCAAGCCTCAGCGAAAGCAGTGAAAAGGATTGGACCAATTCCAGTCAATAAACCAGCAGTGACTAATAATAAAGCATTTGTTTCCTCCAGTCAAAATGTCCAGTCCTCAACTCCATCATATCTCCAGCCAACTAAATCTTCTGTTTCAAGAACTACCAATGAAAGCAGTGCAAAGGATGTAAAAGCTAATAATACAAAACCAAATACAGATGGTAAAAACACAGCTAGATCTAATATTTTGAAAGTTGGTCCAGTAAAAAATAGTGAATCTAATTCAAAACCTCAGAAGAAGTTAGAAGTTGAAGTAAAGTCTACTACGGAAAATTCATCTTCTGCTTCAGTTGATAACAGTGGTAAAACTGTCAATGGAAATAACCCCACTTCCAATAATTCTGGAAATATTTCTGTTCCTAAGGTTGGCACAAATAATGCTAAGTCCTTTGGTCCAAAATCAGGAAAACCAGTGTCAACACCATCTACTGCACAGAATAATGCAACAAGTTCAAACCAGTCACTTCCAAACTCAGCAAGGACACAGAATCCACAAAAAAGCACTGCAGCTGGTAAACCCTTGCGTGGAAACTCTGGTGCTACAATTCTAGCACGAGCACCAGCCTCTTCTGCCAGGAGTGAATCAAATGTCCCAGGAAATAAACCTCCACAACTCAAAGAGAAAGATGCTAACACTCAGAAACCCAATCAGGGAAGTTCAAACCAGACTCAGAAAATTAATGTGAAGTCAACATCTGTCGCAAATGTAGAAGCAAGGGAAAATGTACCTAGTTCTGGAAATACAGCTCAGTCCGAAAGTGACCTTCCAAAGGTAGAATCTCAGAAAGTAGAGGAACCTCCAGCCTTTCCATATAAACCAGCTAGTGCAGGGAAGCCACCATTGGTTGAAATAGTTACCTCTGTTACGCCACGCAGGGCCAAACCTGAACCAGTTGTGGCAGGTCCCATGCAAACACCAGTCATTGAAGATCCCTTTGCTGACTTGTATGTAGACAATTCAGTAAAAGCTCCAGAAAAGAAACAGAATGGAAAAGGAGTCACTGCTACAGCATTTGGATACATGGTTTCTAAACCAGGTGTAGAAAGATCCAAAACTAACATTTCCATCAAGAGTAATAAAAGTTCCAAGAAAAAAGATGCCAAACCTTCCTCTGCCAATCCAAAGATAGGCAGGAGAAGGGGAGGAGCTAAAAGCAAGGATAAAAGAAATACTGAAGATGCAGTGGCTCGGCCAAAAAGTGGGAAGAGAATAAAATCAGGGAGGAGGAGAAAGAAGATACCTGTAGACACTTTACTAGGAAAGCAGGCATCACAGTCAGATATTGCACTTATCTCAGGGATAGGGTGGCATGTGGCTGCCAGCTGCATTGACAAGTCGGATGTTGTAGCTGTGAAGTTTACAGACTCTCACTCGTCAGCTTCATCAGAAAGTGAACATGAAGACATGGAAGAAGAGAATTTTGAACCCAATTTTAATCGCCAAGAAAGCTTTGTCTTTGATAACCTTGAATTGATAAAATCGGGAAATTTCAACTTGGATGAGGACACTCCAAGATTTGTGAAGGAGCATTCCAAGCCCAAACACCTACGGAATTCTTTAAGTGTGGATGTGTATCAACAGATAGACAATTCACCAGGTACCCCTTCACCTCGGTTCAAACAAATCAAACCAGACTTTGAAGCAAAGATGAACTTACCGAGAGTAGACAATGATGGATATAGACCGATGAATCTAGATTTGACTCAAACATCTTTGCCAATTCAAAGTCATAAAATTGGTGAAAATGACTTGAATTCTTTGCCTCCCAACTTCAACATGTTTTACAATATGGAACAGATGAATGCTGCTCAGCAAGAACTAGATGATATTCTGTATTCTAATCCTGCAGTGGATGTAGCTAATGAGGAGCTTAATAGACAAATATTGATTGACAAGCTGACTCCTATCCCAGAGTCCCCATCCTTAAGTGCAAGAACACCAATTCATAAAACATTGAATGCTTTAAAGGAGTTTGATGAAAAAGTGAAAGATGACACGTTGAATGACCTGCTTGGCTTAAATGGCCAAACTCCCAGAGTGCCAAGTGAAGTAGAGTGTGCTCCAAGTCAATTAAAACGTGGAAAGTTTGAAACAGAAATTCAGAATTTGCAAAACAGAAATTCCTCTAGTTCAGGAAAAAGCAAAACATCAGAGAGAACAAACTCATCAAGTCAGAAGTCATCCGCTGGTAGCAATTCTAGGACACCAGGATCCTCAGCAGGAAAGAAGAGTTTGCAGACGTCAGCTGGAAGTCGAGTGAAAGGCCCTGAACCTGTTACCAGGAAGTCCCAGAGTTTACAGTCGTCTGCTGGTAGCAAAACATCAAGGACACCAGTAACCCCTTTGGCCAAAAGAAACAAGAACTTATCGAAATCTCTGAATGAGAACACTAGGAGTGAAATTGAGATCTCTATTGAAAATCTCAAGACAGCCATTCAGCAGAATAAACTAAAAAATGATGAGAAGAGAAATAAAAAAGATACAGAACATTTAAATGTTCCTCCTCCTGCAGAAAATGTACCTTTATTAGATCTGAAAAGTGTTCATCCAGCAGAGGAAGATAATGTACCCTCAGATGTAAGATCCAGTCAAAGGAAGAAGAAAGAATCTGGTGGAAGATCAACCAGAAGAGAACGCAAATTTTCTGAGACCAAAAGTGAGGAAAGAGAGGATACTAACCTAGATGAGGTAGTGGAGGAGATTCTCAGCAATACCATGTCCTCAGTGAGGTCTAACAGGACACTCACAAATACAAGCAGAAACAGTACACTGACTGAGGTAGACAGGGATCTACTGAAGAAGATGATGCAGAATGAGTCTCCTTTCCATGCCAAACTTTCTGCCTCAGTTTGTGATCCTCAGAGGAATAATCAGGAAGATGAAATTGAGGACATCTCCTCACAACAACCCTATCTAAAAGTGACTGATGACCTGCAAACAGTACAAAAACAGAAGGTTGATAATGAAGCGATAGCAAAGATCATGAACAGTTTCAAACACATGGAACTGTTTGCAGGAAAAGGTGGGAGTCTGAGGGCTTTGAAAGGTAGCAGAGAGCATTTACACAGACCTCACATGAGTGTTGGAGAACCGTCTTCTGCTGCGGTCAATCATAAGCCACCATTGTCAGTTCCAAAGGGAAAATCTGCAGGAAAGTTTACAGAGATTAGGGGTTCTAAACAAGATGGTGGGTCTATGAAAAACAACAGTGTGAAGGAAACTCCCTTCAAGTTCTCTAACTTGCCTCCTCAGGAAGGAGCAGGTATTGGTGATGATGATGAGAGCTTGGATCTGAGCAATAAGGTATGAAGAATTGAAGCTAGCAATAATTTTTGGGATATTTCTTTTGTTTTGTTGATAAGAAGTTGTGAGTGTGGATTGTCAGAACTTGAATTCTTGATTTTCCAATTCCATTTTTCTTTTCAGACAATAACTAGTGACATATCCAGCACCACTATGGACTCAGACAGCAGGGCAGGAAGTGCTTGTACCTCCATCAGTAATCAGTCTAATGTAGATGACATGATACAGTGGAAGAAAGGAAATGTCCTGGGTAAAGGAGCTTTTGGAACTGTGAGTATTCTACAGCCTTTCAAATAGTTGTGCAAAATACTGTATACAGGGTAATTTTTGCCCCTCTTTTATTTTCACCTTTTTTGCCCTAGACACAAGTGGGTGAATTTAAGACAGGGCGAATTTAAAGAAAAAAGTATAATTTCCTAAACAAAACTGTGATGGGGTGAAATTAAAATGGGGCTAATTTGTTTTCAACTGTTAAGGGCAAAAATAACCCTGTATACAGTATTCAGTAAAACTAGTGTTGTTGTAAAGGGGATGTATATATATTGTGATTTGGCTTATGTATGGCCATAGTGGTTTTATTGCAAATACATGTATATTAAAGTGTGAATTTCATATATTATAGGTGTGGTGTGGATTGACCAGTGAAGGACAACTGATTGCTGTGAAACAGATTGAACTCAACACAGTGGACAAAGACAAGGCGAAGAGGGAGTACGAAAAAGTCCAGGAGGAAGTGGAGCTCCTTAAACTCCTAAACCACAAGAATATTGTAGGGTAGGTATAAATAAAGTATAAACTGTCCAAAAGAAATGGGACATCATGAAGGGGGGGGGGGGGGTAATACTTTGATTTTATGCTAGAGTTCTGTTATCCACAGATCTATAATTTTGTCTTACTGGATCATTGATTTTCATTTGCCATACCATCAGAAAAAAAGAATAATCTGCCATATTATGGAAGTTGGTGATTTTATATTGATTTTTTTTTCTTTTTGTTGGAAGTAATAAACATTGCTGTCTATGATGTAGATACCTTGGCACCAGCTTGGAAGAGGAGGAGAGCGTGGTCAGTTTATTTATGCAGTTTGTTCCTGGGGGCTCTATTGCTAGTATCCTGGCCAGGTTTGGGGCACTTGATGAAGCTGTGTTCAGACGGTATACTAAGCAGATCCTGGAGGGAGTGTCTTACCTTCATCAAAATGATGTCATTCATAGGTAAATAAAGCTGTTGTTTTTTGTTGTTGTTTTTTTTTTTTTTGATCATTTTATACTCTGATCAAAATGATCAAAAAAAAGAGAAGAAAAACAAACAGTGATCAATCTCACAAATACTATAAACAATACAAATCATGAATGGGGCAAATAAGGGTAATTTTTGATAGAGTCCCAGAAATGCATTTTTTGCATAGGAAGGAGAAAAGGTTTCAGGGATTTTACGAGCTTTTAAGTTAAGTTACACCAATCATTTTTTTTTATTTTGCAGAGATATCAAGGGAGGAAATGTAATGTTAATGCCAAATGGAATCATCAAACTCATCGACTTTGGATGTGCCAAAAGATTATGTATAAACCTCAGCATGGGTCAGTCACAGATCCTCAAATCCATGAAGGGCACTCCATATTGGATGGCCCCAGAAGTGGTCAATGAAACTGGACATGGTAAAAAATCTGACATTTGGAGTGTTGGTTGCACCATTTTTGAAATGGCTACCAGAAAACCCCCATGGGCAGACATGAATCCCATGGCAGCCATTTTTGCCATTGGAAGTGACAGGAAGTCACCGCCAAGGTTACCAGAGAAATTTTCAGCAGAGGCCATGGAATTTGTTGATTTTTGTTTGACAAGGTAAGTACTTCCTGGAATAATAACAAGAATTACATGTAATATATGAAAGTTAAAAATAAATGAATAAAAATACACAATTTATTCATATGAGAATAAATTTATTTGCAGAGACCAAAGCAAGAGACCATCTGCTGCACAACTTCTACTACATTCATTCATCACAAAGAGGAAAAATTCTAAAGGGGAAAAGAAATGACTTAGTTTGTTCATAAGACTGTGTTCTTCACTCTTGCATTTCATCAACATCATTTAACTTTCTTAACAAGTCAGAGAATCTACAAGGATGTATGGAAAGTGCTTTGAATGTATTGAAACAAAATTCTATGTATAGCCATATCAAAGTGCCTGCAAGATCATGTTATGTTCCATCATCATACAAGAAACTGGTGATCACATTGTTCTCGTTCATGATATTAGTTCACTGCTACGTTCAGGTATCAAAACTTGTTCAGATCTGTGTTCAGATCTTGTATCATACATTTCCTAGTATTATGGAGAGTGAATGAACCTGACTGATGAAAATCTGTGTTATGACAAGAAATTCTACATTTTTCTTTGATGTGTTGCACCTTTAGAAGTGTTATAAAAATGTTTTTGTTATTTTTCCAGATAAGGTTGAATGAGAATTTTACAATTCCCAACATTATTAAAAATTTGTATGATCAGTGTTGTTATGAGCTATGACATAGATATATATTAAGCCATTACAATTTTTTTTTTATTTAGAAATTGACATATTTCCTCAAATTGAAGGAAATACAACTATTTCAGAGCAATTAAGTAATAATTTTATATAAAATATATATGGTATGAATCTTATTTACATTTATATGTGTACATTCCATAAATTTTTCTAGGGATATTTTGTGTGTTATATTTTACACAGGATAGATGTAGTGCAGTGTCCTTTTTATTGTACCAATGTAATCAGTTTTTTTTGTTGTGCCAAAGTGTAGGTATTAGTCTCTTTATGTGCATCGATTTTCTCTAAATGTGTCAACTACTGTTCCTCCAATATACATCAGTGCCACACATACTACTCATATGCCATAATAGATGAGGAACTTTTAAACAACCAAATAAGTGATTTCATTGTACCGTGAAAAATATTTTCAAGACTTTATTTGTGTGTGCAAGGGTATGGGCAAATAGGCTTAGGAACAATGAAGCTTGATGGGGTATGTTGGAATAGAATTATATTCAAATCAAATCTTGGAACTTCTTTTTCCGTTTTATGGAAATTTTACCAAGATGTGTATGGTAGCAGATGACTTCTGCTTAGAATATTATTTTGTGGAACATCAGGTTAAATACACTTTGATTTTTACAGCAATAATTTGTTTTTTCATTTCATGATGTTTTCCAGAATGTATGATGGTTTGCTTAGATTTATCAATGCAATATTTTTAGATGGGCATTTATAGTCAGGAAAAGATAACCCATGTTTATATACCTCTGTGTATAGGTCATTCAATCATTCATAGGATATGGTATGGTAAAATTAAGTTGTACTACTTTAACAAAAATTTAAAAATGGTACATATACACTCTGTAGTAGTATTTGGGGAAAAACATACATATATTAGACTATTTGGTATCTGGAGATGTATGTTATTGAAGTTTGTCTGAAGGCAAAATTATCCAATATCTCTAAACCTAACCTTTAGTCTATGTCTTATCTATTGGAGAGTGTACTAATGGATAAGAGCAAGACTCCTATCTTATTTTGTTAAGACTTTTAAATATAATGAACAGGAATATATATATTTTTATATCAGTGTACCCAGAGACAAAATGGAGCACCTAAATCCTCCATGTACTATTAATGAGTCTGTTTCTGATCATTGAGATCTTCATGGAAATGATCATTTCTTTCTGGATTTTAGCACTGCTGACTTCAAGAATTTTGTCTATGATGGTGCATTTGCTTGGATTCACTGTGATAAATGACAGACTATTGTTTTATTACTATAAAGTTGTTTGAATCATGTTTTTGTACTCATACGCATTCCTACATTAGCATCATGTCTTCCCTTTGAAATAAAGAAAAGTAGATTATTGAATAATTTTAATGGTTTTTGTTTTCTTTCGAGATGCTGCATTACCTGTTACATGGTCCAGAAAATTTTCTCTCTCTCATGCAAAGTTTTGTCACAGCAATCCCCCCTCCCCCTCCCACTTCCCCCATGTTTTGGACCTGACACAGCTGCAGAACTGAAGCTCTCAAAAAAAAAAAATTAATTGATAGACCATAGAGCTACAGTCCCACCCATAGAAAAAAAAGTATCTCTGGTCATCCATTTCAATTTTTAAGACCATTGAGCTACAGGTCTGCAGCTAGACCTGAGAGAAAGATTCCACTATCCACCTAGGTTTATTTTTATTCACTTTAAAATTTAAATAAACTATAAGTTACAGTTGAGCCTCTATTTCTAAGACTCAGTAGCACTGACAACAAATTAAAGATATCTGAAGACTGGCTTCAAATTTATATTAAAGTAGGGATGGTACTTTATTAGACTTGTATTTGTACACCTTATATTCAACAAATTGCAATTCAAGATATGGAAGTTACAAACTGTATTTGAATATACATAAGAAAAAGTCAGTAACATTGTATTATATGGAATGAATATTCCCTTTAAGGCCAAAAGTTTTGAAAGATGTGAAGTAATTTTGCTCTATCTTTATGACAAAATGATCTGTCTCTTTTCTAACATTACTAGACAAAGGAATTTTGAAAAAACAAAAATCAGATCTGTCGGCAATGTGAGCCCTGTGATTATGGGTTAACATCTCGGAAAATTTTTAAGAAAAGATACCAAGAGATGAAATGAAATAATTAATAAATAGGCAATGCAAAGATCTGTAGCAGGACAAATTAGCTCAGGGTATCCCTTCTTTGATTTTCGAAAGTTAATTTAACTAGAAATATGTCCATAGGACATGAATGCCCTGCCCAGGGTTCATTATTAATGAAACATGAAAATTTGTGTTAGTGCATGAAGTTTGATGAAAATATCCTGAACAGTTTCTTTAAAACTGGGTTTTATACATAATAAAGGTCTTCGGGAAGGTCAAGGTAACAAACTTTTTGACAAAGTTGATACATTCTCACCAAATAATGTATCAGCTTACATAATGCATAAGCTTACATAAAAAAATATCTAGAATAGTTTCTTCAAAACTGAGGTAAACATAAATTTGAGAAAAATTAGGTCAAGGTCAATGGAAAGGTCAAGGACAACAAAAATTGATGAAGTTGAATAGCTGTCCTCAATATGTATTATTTTTTATAGCATATGAAGTTTGATAAATAAATCTTAATTTGTTCCTTTGAAACTTAGCTAAACACAAATTTTAGAGAAGCAAGATCAAGGTAAAAAATGTTGATGCCTTTGAATAGCTCTCATCAATATGTATAAGCATATGAAGTTTTATGACAAAAAATTTTGAATAGTTTCTTTGAAAATGAGCTAAGCACTATATTAAGAAAAGTGAATTCAAGGTCAAAGGGAGGGTCAAGGTCAATAAATATTGATGTTCATCAATATGAATTAAAATATGATGTTTGATAGAAATATCTTGGATTGTTTCTTTGAAAGTGAGCTAGAACTGAAACTGGACTGACGGAAGGACAGAAGGATGGAAGACGGACATGACAAACGCTATAAGCCCCGGCCACAACCATGGCGAGGCATAAAAATTTACACTTTTTAAACTCTATTAAGTCTATTTTAGATAAAAATGAAAAAGGTGAAGATAACGAAACGTAATCGATCTCAAAAACCCTACAAACAATACAAATATGTGATCACGGCATAAAATACGACCCCTGGAAATTCCAGAGGTGAGATCAGGTGCACAGGAGGAGTAAGCATTCACCGTCGACAGGTCACACCCGCCGTGAGCCCTAGACAAAATATTCCATAGTCAAATTTAGTATTAAAACAAAGGCCTTCCAAATGGTTTATAAAACAGTCAAAATTACGAAATGCATACTTTAAACGAGGTTGCTAAAATCTCTGTAGCATCAACTTGCCAGTAGCCTGTCTCGGTTTTAAATTTGATTGTACTCGAAGTTTATGCTCTAGAGCATCAAATAAGTTGGGAGATATAAACACCATATGCAGGTGATAGAGGTTAATTATAGATACTACATAAACGAGGAAAGTTGCAATCTGATTAAAATCAAATCCTCGTTGCTCCTTTTTAACGATATGTCGCTTACGATCGAGGCCTCTGATTTTAATCAGATTGAGGAAAGTTGATGTTTGTAAAGCTGAAGTCATCTCTACATCCCATTCCTCACCTTCACAACATCAGACTTACTGGTTTTCCTCTACAGTTTCGTTGTAATCATTGCTATATGGCGATGTAAAAACATTTTAGGTCACTATACCTAAGTTACATTTCTTCTCCATACATATCATTTTACTAAAATGGGTCTATCATTTTTTGTTATTGCATAGTATGTACATTAAAACACGCGCCAGGGACGGACGATTTCGCTTCGTTATAAACATAATTCGTTATATCCGTTGAGTTCACAAAATGTTTTAAAAGAGGAATGAAAACCACTTCGCTGTAAGCGTCAATTCATTATAAGCGTGTTCGCTATATAAGCGTGTTTTACTGTACTAATTCGTATCACTTCGGAAAAAAACTTGACACAATATATTTGGTAATTGAATCCCTCCCTTGAAAAACTTTCAACCGTAAACGGAATTGCAAATATTAATCTCAGCGTCCATTGATCTCTATTTCCCAAAGTAAGAATTCTAAAAAGGGAGGACAATACGGCATTTGTGGCCATGACCCTCCTCTCTTTCCTCCGATGTATTATTACTATAAAATCTTCCCGGAAATGTTGGACGTTTTATAAATTATTTTCTATAGTATATATATTTACAGTGTATTTTAAAAAACTTAGAAACCCCAAGACCGTTCTATAAAAAGAAAAATAAATAAACCGACCGGTTATTAGAAATAAATGAGCTCCTCTCATCGTCGGAAACCCACGATAGACTATGTTTCGTTGCCTGCAAGGATTTCCGACGATTTCAAGAGCCCCCCCCCCCATCTATGTAGACCAGATGTTTCAGTTGGAATACGTTGGGAAATTTTAAATGTCTTTACAGAGAAATAATTGATGAAAACACCAACAGTGCAGGGTTGAAGGAGGGTGTGTGTGTTCTGTCCACAATTTCAGACATCTCTAAATGGAATATTTAAGCATTTTACAATTTTAATCATTTGGACAAGGAATTCGGAAACGTGTATTTACTGCAGAAGTGGCCAAAAATTTCTGAGGACGTGAAATAATAATTGTTCCTGTAACTCCACAAAGCGATCTCTTTCATTTCTATTTCTACAAGAAAACGCAAGTCACAGAGGGATTTTGGAGAGAGGGGCGGGGGGGGGGGGCAGAAAGATGAAAAGAAATAATTTTCTTTTTATCTTTCGGTCTCTATTTTCTTTTGGAATTTTCCAGGATGTGGGTCCACACTTTGCCAAAAATTGATTATCCTTTTTTTTAATTTAATCATTCTGATTGATTAGGCGTACGATGTACATGTAATTAGTAATCATATGTTTTATAGGAGAAAAGAGGAAATCGGTACATACATGCACACTTAATTTGTCTGCTATAAAATACACTATATTGATATTCCATATACTTATTCTAAACAATATTCAAGGCTGACATTACTGTATTTTTTCCCCTAAAACAATGTATTTATAATAGCACATTCCATTTTTCTGTTCATATCATGTGAACGGGCAAAAACATTTCTGTTTTCCTACCCCCCCCCCCCCCCACCCCACCCCAACCAAAAACATAAAATATATCTGACCCAACACCATCATTAAAAAATAGTTAAAATTGTCAAGAGCCGGTGATTTTTTTTTAGTTGTAAAGTGATCGTGACCATCGTGCTGAAAAGAATTTGAGACATAGACAATTCTACGAGTTCACTCCCTTGTTTTAAAGCCACTTGCTAGGCGGCGCTCATGTTCTGTTGTTGACGTCAATGGCTGCTTAACATACGACGACGATCGATCTCAGCAACTCCTTGCAGCTGAAGTCACTATATTTCCATCCCACACGTCATTTTCACAATGACGCCGAGGTAAGTCTGGTGCTTTGCAAAAATTTCTCTTAATTATCATCGAAAAAAGACGATAACATAGTGGTCACCTTTTGCTCAAGTTTTATTTACATGTGGCCTACAGCTAGCTAACTAGACCGGGTCTAGATTGATTTGCTGATTGATTGTCATTTAAATCTATATTTATTGTCTTGTTACATCTCCGGTATGGTTATGAAGAGTTTGTTCGTATTGTAAGAGTGTTAGCCGAAATCTTCAACTAAAACGTTGGTATAAATTACAGTACAGATGATCCTAACTGAACTCCAGAAAAAAATGTTTAATCAAATATCAAGAGTTTTGTGGACTATCAAAATCTACTTGCTTCAGGATAAAGTATAAGTGTAGAAATCATGAAAACATTTTATATCAAAAATTATAATCACTCCATCTTTGATACCTTATTATCAAAGTAAACATTAATTTTCTATAGAAGTGCAAAAAACTTTTTTTTGTATGGTGAAAACACTAATTTTAATCTAGGCATTTTGTGTAACTTTCAGATATTTAATGGAAAATGCTTTATTTATTTAATAATAATATAATAAACCTAGTTATAACTCATGTTGACGAAGTAGTAGTATCCACTTTCTCAGAAGTTTCGACATTGAAATCGCTGAATTGCACTGTCAAATTGCTGTAGACAGTTGAACCTTATTAATAAAATACAATTAAGTTTCTCTTCTTACATAAATATCAGATGATTGAATTTCAGTGGGTGTTTTGCAATATATACGTACTAACCATGGTTCATTTAACTCTGCTTTTAAAGCACTCGGTGCTTCCCAGATTTTCATTTTAGTCAAGTGCTGTATTATCTATTATCATGTAATGTGACATTAGGCCACATAAATTTAAAATTTAGATTCTCATCCAAATTTGCAAAAAAATTGGGGCGGGTGGGCGGAGATAACTCTTAAATTTTGACCCAGATTCTTGCTGAATAAAAATACATGAAAATAATACATTTGGCACCCAAAAAGCAAAATAAAAAACAACGGGGCGGGGCACTTTGAGAGGGGCGGGCGGGGATGAGAATCTAAAGATTAATTTTACCTGGCCTTAGGAGAAGTTTACTTTTTTCCTTACATTGATCTAATTGCTTTTTGATTGCAAAGAAAAAAAAACAGTGTCTCGGAAAAAGGTTTTACTCCATATAGTTCAATTAACTGACAGCTATATGTACTCTTTGTTTAACATGTTTAAGCATTATAATTTTATTCAGTATTTGTAGGAGTTAATTATGCAAAGTAAAGATTTACTTGGAGTGAAAGTAGCATTAAATAATCATTATTTATGATTTGGGCCAGTAAAATACAGATGCTTGACCAGTTATATATAAGGCAAACTTTCCCAATAAAGCAATTAATTTGGTTACTTAAGTTTTTTCAGGCTTATAGTGAAATCTTGCATGTAAAAGAAAAGTATTAATTACTAAAGCAGTGTGTTTTTCCTCATAGTTTAAAAATGAAAAATTTAATCCCCCCACCCCCCACCCCCAACTCCAAAAAGAGTGTTATTAAATTTTCAATGAGATTCATAAAACATTGGAAAATATCATTGCATTAAGAAGAGGATCAGTTAACTTGTAAGCTTTGGTTGTACTAAGAATTAAAAAATTGTGTTGATTACATTTCTGTGGTGAACTTAACCACTGAATTGAACATTTTGACCAGTATAAAAATGTATTTGAATAACTAGACTGACCAGTGCAATAAGATATAATTATTTCAAGGACAATGACATAAGTGCTTGAGCAGTTACACTGTGCACAATAAATGATGATGCAGATCGCTATGTATATATATAATATTACTTGCATTTCACAAGTCAGCAGATCTATCTCATCAATAAGTAACCCTATGGGGAGAAAAATGTATTTACATTTATGAGCATATGCCAACTGGGGGGCTTTATGAAACATTTTGAAGACTAATAGAGTATTATAGTAGGCTGCCTATTAAATAATGAATCTATTATAAACAGCTGTGCCATTAGATTATGTAATGTTTATAAAGTATCAAATTTTCAGAGAATGTCAGGAGATATACATATATCTTTTAAAGAATATGAAAAAAAAATATGTCAGTAGTATCTTAGTCTTATAAAATAAAACACTGGGTTAGACAAAACAGATGCTACCTACATGATGTTGAATGTTTATTTATATTAGATAAGTATGATAAGATCCTAAAACATATCTAGGAGATTCAAATATTGTCTCAAATTTAAATGTCTTTAAATTGTTCTACTTCCAATAAATTTGTTTTCCAGGGTGACACATGTCTGCAAGAAAAGGTTCACATAAATTGCAGCAGATAACAAGAGTGAAACTGAAACAACACGAATCATGACTTGGAATATCCCATAACAGAATACTATGTCCGATAAATATTTCTGTCCACGTCTTATTGACTACATCCTGATAGTGGGCAGTCGACATCCAAATAACAACAACAATGTAGCCCAGACCCCCGAGCTTCTACGACGTTACCCTTTGGAGGATCATCACGATTTTCCTTTGTCGCCAGACGTCATCTTCTTCTGCCAGCCAGAAGGATGTATCAGTGTGGGTCCCAAGCGCATGAGCTTGAGAGAGACGACTTCATTTGTGTTCACATTAACAGAAAAAGACACAGGGAAAGTGCGATATGGAATCTGTGTGAATTTTTTTCGACCAATAGAGAGAAAGGTGTCCGAGAAATCAAAATCTCTGAGTGCATCTTGGGCAGATGATAATGGAAATACGGAACTGGACAGAAGAAAGTCACCTAAAACTAAGCGAAAATTGAAGACAGCAAGTCGTGTTCGAAATAATACTTTAACATCACTGTGTATTGTTACTCATCATCCATTCTTCTCAACATTCCGAGAATGCCTGTTCATTCTGCGCAAACTTATAGACGCTTGCCATGATAGAAGTTGTACCAAAAGAATTGGTGGATCCAAAGCAATATCAAGGTGTGTATCATGTCGATAATGAAATTTGTTTGAATTGTATTGTGTACTTTTAAACAATTGTAACACAAAAAGTATATAGACAGAGTAAGCCAAAAATTTAGATAAGAATGGAGCATTTGGCTTGTTTTTCATGTTTCTATAAAATCACTATGTGACAAGTCAAATGATCTTATCTCCCCTTTGAAGCATTGATTGATATTTGAATGTCATAGGATGTTATTTAGTTTGCTGGAATGCAAGCTTTCAAAGCCTGCATGAATAGATCCTGGGATGTATAATGAAAGAGAAGTGTTTGATTTTAAAAAGGAAAAAGACTCTGTTGTTTTGTTCTTTAATTTTGGCTTCACTGATCAATACAAGGCAACATTTGGTAACAATCCCACAGCCATATTCCTACAAGAGCTGAATCTGTTAGAAGTACAGGCAGTCTCCTCTCATTAACTCAGCTTCATTTAAGGCATTATTGATTCCATCAGTTTCCTCTGTTATTTTAAACCAATACATGTCCATGAACATGCTATAGGGCACATTTTCCATATATATGGTGTTGCTGAAATCTATTTTCAGAATCGGTAAAACTAAATCAAGATCATTTGTTTGTCTAGTCATTTTATGAGGACTCTTAAAATAAGAAATATTGTATAAAATTTAGAAAACATGGTTGAAATGTGTTTTTTATTTTTTCATTTAATTCCCCAAGTAGTGTCAAGTTCACTTTTAATAGTAAACAGAGCTGGTATATCTTTGTGTGTAAAATACCAGAGAAATTTTAGGATTGTGGTGTTTACTTATTATTATAAAAGCTTGGACTATCTGTGTCATTAACACTTTTTTTGTGAAGTTTTAATCATGTTAATGTCAACCAATGTACTATTCCCAAGGCTATTTAATTCCAAAAGACGTGTATTTTAAATTTTGTATTTAGTACTTTCTCACTTTAAATGTAAGTTATTAAATTAAAAGTAATACTGTTGAAAGGTTATTATGTTTATTTATAAAGGAATTTTTTAATTTAAAAATCTCTTCTATATTCTACAAATTAAATCCAATTCCACAGATTACATCTATAATAAATAACTGTGCATTATACTTGAAAATTGTAACTTGTATAAAATATCTGTGGTATAATGTCTGACTTAGTATTAAAATCTGATGCTGTGTAGTGTGTATGTATGGACATAATGAAATGGGTTGCATTAGTGTATTAATATGACCATTCTTTTGTGAAATGACCTCAAGCAAGATTGTCCTGGTGACAATGGTAATTGCTTCCATCTAAATTAATTGACGCAGGTATAGTCAATGTGTCAATTTAGGGACCATCTGCTTAAACAGAAAATTTTGATAGACATGGACATTATCATATTACGTACTGTAAATGTATTTTATTTAGCATGTATGCTAATTGTTATTTGGAGGAAATTGACTTTTCAACAAGTTAGCGTAAATTTGATTAAGTGCATGTCTGAATGTGCTAGATATAAATAATATATGTACTCTTAGACAGTTAGCGATGTACATGATTTAGCAAAAGCTGCTTTCAAATTCTGCCAAAGGCACTAAAAAGAAAACACCACTAAGTCAATTAAAATGTATTTGTGTGTACAGTATTACTGGAAATACAGAGCTTATTACAATAAAGAAATATGTTTCTGATAAGGTACATTCTCAAAAAAAGTCATATAGCTGAAATGTAAACAGAAAAAGGTTTTAAATGTTCTTGTCAGTGATATATCTAGAATTAAATCCACAATTTCATTTAGATATTTATGATTGCAATGTGTAAATGACAACTGTATTGAAATTTAAGTCTTAATTTCTCAACTGAAAATTGTACAATATATTTTTCGAGGCTTTCATGACCATTGGATTGTGAATGAATATGAGCACTCAGACATGTATATCCACTTTTAATTGCATTGAATACCTTCCTGTCAACTGCCAGAGGCACCATTGGTAGTATGTCCATATATATAAAAAAAAAAAAAACTTGCTGTGGATTATTAGGGCTGCCTGAATAGAATTATATACATGCAATTAGAGTATTAAAAAAATTAAAAATAATACTAACGAGTTCTCATCATGGAGTGTTTTGAGTTCAAGCAATATTCATATATAAGACTGTTGGCCTGTGTGTTTCTTTTGCCTAGGTTTATCTCTATTGAATTTCATACTACATGTATTATAATCATATTGTCAGACTTGGAGTGTCCAAAAAAATGTACCACATAGGTAGAAAATATACTAATAATTACTTTAACACTTTGACTTTAGGGACACAGTTTGGGGAGTGTTGACAGGACAGGGGTCAGACAACCTGACAGGCCTTGTGATGCATGAAGTCAAAGAAATAGAAACATGGGTTCTGAGACTTCTAAGTGCACCAGTACCTGTCCCTGGGAAGACCAGAGTTGAGGTTTGTTACTATGTAACCATGGAAACAGTTAGTTGTAGTGTACTGCAATATCTGAGTTGTCTACCACATAATTTTAAGTCCAGCATAAGGGATGCACATGTACCTATTCAACTATTAAATGAATTCCTTAGAATTTTGTATGCACATGTAGGTGATAGATTTCTATATATGGAAATAACAGTATTTTCTAAGAAGCTGAGAAAATGTCAGATGAAGTCAATTTCTATTATGGTAAACTTGATATCCAAACATCTAAGATCAACATTTCATTACTGAACTAAATCTGTATCATCTCTAGCTAGATCTTGTTATATCTATAGCCCAGACATTTCAGTATTACATGTTATAGTCAAACACTTCAGATTTCTGAGTTATGAATACATTGATATCAGATTATTTTGTGTAATGTATGGGATAAAGAAAATCACCAGGATCAGCTTAGGGTGTGGGCGATATTAATTTAATATTCCTGTATTAATGCTATCAGACTAGAAACTTGTTCAGAATTTTTTCAACGTCAATGCTTTGCACTGCTTGTGATAACAGCTGACTTGGAATAATGACAGCTGATAGTAATTAGAAACTTGTAATGAGGATTGAAGTATTTTTTATCCAGAAATACATGATAGCACAATATCTGAGAACTGGAAATCCATTATGCATTAACCTGGCACCAGTAGTCCCAGTTATTCTACTTAATCAATATATCATGTACTTTGTCAATGTGCGAGATCATGGTGACAATGGCATAATTATGTAACATTTGATTCACAAATAAGCTGTTTTTGGACCATTATCATCACATATTGTGTCTAATATACCTAATGATGTGTAGTGATACTTTCAGCAGTATTATCTTGATTATCTGCATATTTTATGTATAGAATTTGGCTACAATGTGTGTGCTCTTGCATATTTTATAAAATTCTGGTAATCAGAGTCAGTGTTTTTGATAACTTTTAAAAAAAAATTATTAACTCAGATGTATTTGCTTCATTTTTTAGTGTAATCAGACAATGACTCAGAGTTGAAAATTTGCTAAGTACTGTTATCTAATGACTTCTGAATCGATTAACAAAAACATTTTTTTTCTCCAAAAATGTCTTTTATAGAAGTTATATCATTAACAAATTCATACAAGTGGGATCACTTTATTTATCCAGGTTCAGGTGTTGCCAAAAGAACTGGAAGCCCCACTGTTGTTTGCCCTGCCCGATCACACTAGGTTCTCTTATATAGATTTTCCCCTCCATCTCCCACTAGAACTTCTTGGGGTGGATACCTGTCTAAAGGTGCTTACTGCCATCATGCTGGAATACAAGGTAAGCCATTGGGTTTAGTGGACAGAGAATTTTTTTTCTATATGAAGTATGAAAGAATTCTTTATTGTATAATACATTGTACTATAGAGCATGCTTAGAGAGCCAGTACCCAAGACCTTAATGAAAGTCCCCGAATTAAGACATAGATATGCATGCATGCTTAAATGAATTTTTCTTTGTATATATTATATTATATTGAAATGTTGCCTTTTCTGATGACCCCCCCCCCCCTAAAAAAAAATACTGATATGTAAAAGAATCATCAAGATCATTTTAGATGTACACCTGGCACCAAATTAAAGCAGTTGTACACTGTATATTACACACACATATTAAAGTTTTTAATGGTACTCTATGTTATATAATTGATACTGATGAACAGCAAGACATTCCAATTCTCCTGATGATTGAGTTTTTTTGACCTTAGATTGTGATGCAGTCCCATTATTACAATGCTATGTTTATGATGTCCTTTGTTGCTGTGTTATACAGGTTGTGATGCAGTCTCGTGACTACAATGCCCTGTCTATGAGTGTGATGGCCTTTGTTGCTATGTTATACAGGTTGTGATGCAGTCCCGTGATTACAATGCCCTGTCTATGAGTGTGATAGCCTTTGTTGCTATGTTATACAGGTTATGATGCAGTCTCGTGATTACAATGCCCTCTCTATGAGTGTGATGACCTTTGTTGCTATGTTATACAGGTTGTGATGCAGTCCCGTGATTACAATGCCCTGTCTATGAGTGTGATAGCCTTTGTTGCTATGTTATACAGGTTATGATGCAGTCCCGTGATTACAATGCCCTCTCTATGAGTGTGATGGCCTTTGTTGCTATGTTATACAGGTTGTGATGCAGTCCCGTGATTACAATGCTCTGTCTATGAGTGTGATGGTCTTTGTTGCTCTGTTATACAGGTTGTGATGCAGTCTTGTGACTACAGTGCCCTCTCTATGAGTGTGATGGCATTTGTTGCTATACAGGTTGTGATGCAGTCACGTGACTACAATGCTCTGTCTATGAGTGTGATGACCTTTGTTGCTATGTTATACAGGTTGTGATGCAGTCTCGTGACTACAATGCCCTGTCTATGAGTGTGATGACCTTTGTTTCTATGTTATACACTCAGGTTGTGATGCAGTCTCGTGACTACAATGCCCTCTCTATGAGTGTGATGGCCTTTGTTGCTATGCTGTATCCTCTAGAATACATGTTTCCTGTGATTCCATTGCTGCCAACCTGTATGTCCTCTGCAGAACAGGTAAGTAGTGTGTCTGAATTTTATTTATTGAGAGTTCTGTAATGATTATTGTTACAAAATGAAATATGTAGCCCTGTAATAATTCTGTAAGATAGCTGTTTCAAGAAGGGAAATGTTATAAGAAGTAAAGATTATGCAATCTTAAGGAACCTAATCACAGATTTAGATTAATCAGTAGTGCTATGAAAGTTGATTGTGATGAATGAATCCAAGCATTGTTAATGCAGTCTTGCCCACAGGGACATGCAAAAGAAACAAAATTGATATTGTAGCAGAGATTGCAGTGGTATAATTACAGAATTCAAATATCTCAAGAGCTAATCCAAGTCAATGTCTGTTCTTAATACAATTTATTGCTATACTTGTAAGGCTGGCTGAAATTAATTCTACATTTAATGTAAGCTTCAGAACCTATGAAGGAGGGAGAAAAAAATAAACAACACAATTTCAAACAAATGAATATTAACTTATGTACATGAATATCAAATACTGTAAATATTTGTAAACATGTAGGGTTATTGTTTAACGATCATTTTCAGTAAATCTGTCAGTTTAAATAATAGACTTAAATTGGCTCAAATATACCTCACAGAGGGCCCTAATGTCTATCTCTATGGAATCAGTTTTTAGCTGCTAAAAGTAAAAGCAAACCAGAATAGAAACTTTAAAAAATGACCGATTTGTTTGTTTATTCAAATTTCCAATTTCTCTGAAATCTAGGCATGCAGCTGATGTTAAACATAGAATTAACTTTGGACAGCTTTATAGAACTAAAAAAAAAAAGTTTAATGATTTTCAAATCTTTTAGAGAAAATTCATGTAAGAAATGAAATTTAATTCTGTTTGCATGATTCTGCATGATCCAAGAGAGTCAAATTTGCCAGCCTGAATTACACTTTTTATTGCCTGAAGTGCAAATGACCCTTATAAAATGTATTTGATATTAAATATTGATGTAAGCTGACAAAAGTTTTTTTTTGGTTTCTGATTTTGACAGCTGCTCTTAGCCCCAACACCATTCATTATCGGGGTGCCAGCAAGCTTTCTTCCATACAAGAATGTTAAACTGCCTGATGATGTCTGGCTTGTGGACCTTGACTCAAACAAGGTTAGGATATATCACTTTACATACCAATCAATGCACATAAAATATCAAGAAGAATTTATATACATTCATTACTGTTATGTCTCAGTTGAGGGTATTTTGGCTGACTGTGTATCAGATTTTTCATTAGATATGTATCCTGCATGCTATATTAATTGATTTGCCTGACTGCATGAATTTCTCTTTCCCTTGTGGAAAACAGGGCCTCAACATGCGAGTTTTCTTGGTGTTTGTGTCCATTTTCTTTCTTTTGTTCCCCAGAGGTAGATCATGTAGAGTTAATGTATCATACACATTTGCATTTATAAGACTTTGTGTATGTTTCAGTTTAAAAAAAAAAACAAAAAGAATTTCAAGTTTTTATTCAAAGGGACTTTTAAATTGATGAATATACTGTTTGTTGCATTATTCAATTACATTAAGAGGTTATTTTGGAATGTTTACAAAATATGGCATATCATTCCAATATATCAAGATGAATATGGAGTTAACACTTTTTTGTGCACAAAATGTAAATTTAATAATTTTGTTGTAGGTCACTTTAAATAGTCCTTTAAATTTGTCCATGATGTAAGACACTCAAACTACACTGTATATAGACATATAAACTACACAGAAAATGTGCAACAGATGTGATGTTAGCTTGCTGTTCATAGAAAATAGAAAACCTTGTCCCAAAGGTCTCGAGAAGTTAAGGGACATGTGGGGGTTGATTGTCCTTACTCTAGGCTGTCGGCCCACTCAGTGCAGTCTTCCCACACGGAGATGTATTGATCTTCATGTTTGGTCATATTGATGTGTAGGCGATGATCAATTTTCTGGAAGCAAAATCATGAAAGCTCAATTTTCTGGCTGTCTGCAACTGGATGTGTCCTGGGTTTAAATAGGGATCTAGAAAGCACTGATTTATTCTGTTTTAAGTGATCTCATGTCTGCTAGTGCTGAAAGTTGTCTTATAAAGAGATGTAAATGAAACGGGTCTTTGTATGAATAATGGATTAAAGTTTAAGATAGAAAACTTGCTGAGAGTTCACAGTTAGTATTAAATGGTGCTATGTATAATTTTTGTTTTACTCTTATGCATTAAATTGGTATTTCCTGTGCTTCAGAATTTTTTTTTTGAATGGTTCCTCAAAGTAAGCATTAAGATTTTTTGCATTTGCAATTTTTGCGAGACAATTTATTTGCAATGCTTGAAACAAAGTACTGGAATGTTTTACAACTCTAATTTTTATCTATTTTGACTGTTTAACAACAAATTCTGCAAAACTGGACAGTTGCAGAAATGACCCTTTGTATAGTATACTGGTAATTTGTATCTTAGCATGAATGATCCATATTGCAGGAACAAACATGAACTTGTTTGTGCTCAAGACATATTTTTTTTTTAAAATTCAGAACCTTATCTCTTTCTTTGAAAACTTAATAATTAATAGTTATTAATTAATGAATAAAATATACAAAAAATATACAGTAAAATATACAGAATAGTTGAACTTCTTCTTTTTGGAATGATTGATCAAGAAGCAAAAATCACAGAAATGAATTTAAAATAATTAGAAGTGAGGACATTTTCTGGCAGTCTGCCTTTCAACATGTTCAATGTATAAGGTTGCCATCACTTTGATTGAGTATATAATAAATGGTATTCTGTTGAGTTATCAGTGGTATTCAAATTGTTGAGTTATAAATATTGGTTTTCAGATTGTGACATTTTCAGATTTTATTCTTTTTAAAATTAGTTGTATATGTATTGAGGCTTTATTATCATCTGTAATGTGTGGCAAAAATCAATAATTTTATACCTAACCTAATTCTCTGGGGTTCATTAGTTTCTGTAAAATTGTCATGTAAATGTGTTTTCATTGTAATCACTCGGATGAAATTCCGGTTTCTGGTATCTTGTAGAGAGAAAATAAATATTGATTATTAATGTGATGTCCACAAATGTGTAAAATGAACATACATTAGTTTACTAAAAGTGTCAGAATTTTAGAAGCAAAATTTTGCTGTCTGCATATTCATCTTATGATGCTTAGTATGCACTAATTTCATTTTCAAATGTTTTATCATTAGATGACAATAGGCAGAAATGAAGAATTACCTCCCCTGCCTGAACCAGAGGGAACACACTTAAGAAATCACTTAAAGCAGGTGTGTATTAGCAGAGGAAGTGAGGGCATTCACATAAAGGGGGGAACAACCTTAAGAACAGACAATGTCAAAGCTGGTCCATGGGGATTATTTTAGTCTTTGTTGCAGTGGTTTTGATTATATAAGCTTTACTTAGGTGAACTATAAATAGATATCTGTAATCGTTAACCAAAGAGAATTATTTGGATTAATGATAATTTTTATTTCAGAAAATGTTAAATGATCCATATTTTAAAATCTTCTTTATGGATTCAGGCTTTAGCAAGCATGTCCATGACCCCACAGCCAATAAAGAACCTGGATGCCCTAGCCCAGAATCCAGATACCTGGAAGAGACGAGAGAGTTTCTCTTCTCAGACTGGATTTAATCCACTTATTTATGGGAATGATGTGGATTCTGTTGATGTAGCAACCAGAGTGGCCATGGTAAATATGAATTGTACATATATAATGCTTTTACTGTAGACAAATTTCTTTCCTTCATGCTTCATTTGTCTTCAGCAATTCAAGCAATGAACCATTTATAATTCTGTATTTTTCTTTTTATATACATTCATTCCAAGCAAAAATTTATAGGTATCATCATGTTCGTCTGTGTATGTGTTTCTTTAGGTGTCTGTTTGTCTGTTGGTCCCGTTTATGTTAAAGTTGATACTTTTTAATGGAGAAATAACCAGCTATTTGCAGTAATTTTTACATGCTCTAAACTGATATGATACAAAGTTGAGATAAGGTGTGCCCATATGACTGGTACATGAAGCAACTATACAACTGATATACTTTATTGATTTCTGGATTTCCTTTAAGTAGTGTTATTTTATTGTACAACACTTTTAAGGCTGTTGAACTTATACATATCAGATTCATGTACTCATAGATAAGATACAATGTAGATGAAATCTTTAACTCTGTACCTAGTTCCTCAAAATAAAAACTATGTTATGTATTATTTGCTTAGTGTAAATGGGTGCAAAATTTTTTTATGTATAAAAAGAAAAAAAAAATGTTTCATAACTAGGTATAAAATATATACTTCCTGAATAATTATTGGAATAACAAATATATTGTAGATGTATTTTACAAAATTTCACAGTTTTGAGAAATCAATGACTAATTGGGTACATTTTCTCTATTCAGATTCGGTTCCTGAATTCTTCCAACATTCTGGGTAATTTCTCGGAGCACACCAGAACGTTACGACTGTACCCCAGGCCTGTCGTGGCATTCCAGATGTACAGTTTTCTCAAGTCTCGCCCAACTCGAAGTCTCTTCACAGCTCGACTTGCTCGCACTCAGGTGACTTTCAAGTTCTTCTCTTACCTTGTCATGTTGACTTATTAAAATTTAGAATTTCAATATTTGAGTTATTCTGAGGAATTCACTTTCAAATAGTTTAAATTTGTTTTTGATTTAAAAAGAATATACAAGTCTTGTTAATCATTGATCTTTTTCATCAGAATTAGTTAAAATTGCTCTGAATCACCAGAAAGTTAGACATGAAGAATGATATTTATTTGATTTTCATTTTAAAAAAGCTTCTCATGTATTTCTACAAATGCTTTCAACATTTAGGCGGTGGAGTATTTTGCTGAGTGGATATTAAGTCCAAAGAATGTGGTTTTCCTAAGAGTACAGACTTCAGTGTACGACCCACTTCTGATTGGTGACAAACCTAAATGGTACGCCCATCAGCTCCAACCAATAGAATTCAAAGTTTATGATGATGGATCCTCATTGGGCACAGCTTTATCATCAGCAACTGGCATTTATAGTGATGAAAATCCAACAGGTATAAATAGACTTGTTAAAATCAAAAAACAGATGGATTACTAAAGATTTTTTTTTTTTTCTGAAATTTTTTGAATGTATATTTTGGCTAGATTTTGTAATTTCTTCATATGACCTGTCAGTTTGTTTGATTGACAGATGAGAGTGGCAGCGACAGTGACGGGGCTGACAGCACAAGCTCCTCCTACTCATCTCTGAGTGATTACGTCACTGATATGATCAACAGCGAAATAGATGGGGACACACCAGGTAAGCTAAAGAAAAAAAAAGAATATTCTATAAGCTTATGTATGGCTTAATTTTGTGACTTTGTTGTTCTGCTTTATACAGTGAAAAAGTGTGCATTGTAAATAAATTTATTATATATTAATTGTGATTTAACTTGAACTGTTTTATTATATGAAGACTGATTAATGTGTTTTACAGACGTGACAGGGAGTGGTAATATTTCTACCACGGTTCCACATTTTATACTTTTCTCAGTTTATGTCATGTTGAATTTATTCCTCGTTTCTTTTTAATAGCATCATTTATTTTGAGAGAGGGAGCAGGTGCAATGTACATTATCAAAATCTATAACTGGTCATTTGATCATTATCATTTTAAATGATTAATAAAATCAGAACATGAAATATTTTTAAGTATTCAACTGTACAGTTGAATTTTGGTTTCTCCAACATTGATATCTCGAATACCATAGATATGCCAAAGTGAATTTGAAGTCTCAACCATGTTATAACCTCAATATCAAATCCTGAAATACCTCTCAGTTTTTTTTCTTGGCCCCATTGAGTTGGAGATAATGAGGTTTGACTGTAATTGCAACTAACTGAAAATAATGATAAAATCCAACAAAATCTGAAAGATGGTGTGTTATTTCTTTATGAAATTTTCAATTCAGTCTGTAATTCATGACAAGACTATAGATTTCACCTGCTCATGCATTAAACATTAGGTCATTGCCTGAGAGACAGAATTAAGATATCATTTTGTTCCATGTTTTTGAAGTGAATGTTTTAGACTCAGGATATACTGTAGATTAAGTGCTGGAGAGGCTGCCTTTCTTGTATGTTGATTTATTACTTGTATCCATTGATGGCCTTTTAGCAATTTCTTATTTATGGGCTCGTAACAAGAAACAAAAAAAATCTAAATGGAAAAATGTAAGATACTTGCCAATGTCAGATTCATGAATTAAGGATTGCTAGAATTTTATTATTTTTTCTTTTATTTCTTGACCGGTGAAACAAAGCAGTTGTTATTATAGAAAGGTAGCCAATCTCAGATGACAAAGATCTGTATTGAGCATGCTCACAATTTGAAGTGATCATATATACAAGCAGTGTTTTTAAAGACAGGAGATTATTGATTACCAGTAGATGTTCATGATGCCAGTGTGCCATGGGGCTTTCTTTTATTATGTGCATGGGACCACACTGCTTTTGCAAAGAAATTTTTAAAATAAAACTGAAACCAGTTTTTGATGTGCTACTGTATACAGGTTTATTTTCGTCTCCTGTTATTTTCTCCCGTTCACACTTGCAAACAATTTCGCCCCATTTTAATTTCGCCCAGTAACAGTTTTGTTTAAGAAATTATACTTTTTATTTTGATTCGCCTTGTCTTAAATTCGCCCACTTGTGTCTATGGCCAAAGGGGTGAAAATAAAACAGGGGGGAAAAATTCCTTGTATGCAGTAATTCTTTTTTAGAAGTATGTGAAGGAAGGCATGCAATTTAAGGATCATTTTCTTTGTGTGAAGTAATCTGAACAATCACCAAGATCACTGAAGAATGCTTAATTAATAAAAAATGACATCCACATTTCACTGATTTTCTCTTGTTCTGTGAGGCAGAAGTAATTATAATGTAGAACATTTTACAATTTTTTCACAAGGTTGATCCATAGGTAATTTAGATTGGATAGATTTAAGTAATTGTGTATAAACAACAGAAAAGTTTTACAAAGGGGGGGGGGGAATCTTCAACCTTTTAATTATTTTTTCATTTAATAATTGCAGCATTTGTTCCTGAGAATCAGGTTCTTGCAGTAGATGAGTCTAAGGTATACTCCCCTCCAGATAAACTTCAGCTTCCCGAGACGTCTGTCACAACCAGTGACTCCGCCTTCTCCATGCTGGAAAGTGATCTCAGTAGCTCAGAATCCTCCAGTCCAACATACAGCAAAGACCCCCCTGGTCAAGGTCAGGAAGAGGTCAACAAACCACAGATCAAAGGTCAACCTCCTGCAGAGGTATACAGCAAGTGGAAGTTATATTACTCATTGTTGTTTTATGTGTAATGGTGTTTTTTTGTGCTCTCAATTCATAATTTTATTTTCTGGTGAATGACCTGTCTGTTCTGCCATCAGCAGTGATTATAAGTAATCAATTAAGGATAAAGTCAACATTTTATATGATTAAGAGATCAAACATTTTAATGCATATACATGTATATTCAATATGTTGTTGATTGGAGTAGAACATTCTAAGTGGTAGATCTAGGAAGAGAATTGACTAAGATTACAAATTAAAGATTAGGATTAAATACTGTACATTATACATTGTATTTCTCAAACGCTTTTGTTTTAATTTATATACCTTTATTGGAATTATTGAAATGGTTTAAATTGTTACATCTTGATGTAAGTGTATTGGGAGTGAGTTTGATATTAATTTTGATATCTAAAATTGATCTAATTTTTCTTCCCCTTAAAGCTTGGTGGTGAAAGATTTCGGTATGATTCTGGTAATGTCACCCCAACTCTAAATTCTTTAACAAGGTAAGTTGCAGAGCTGAACTTTAACATATTTTCTTACGGTACTTGCCAAAGCTCGAATCATGAAATTCACAATTCTGAACATAATTTTTACTTTCTTAATTTTTTTCATTAAAGAACTAATTGACAACTTGAAAAATATTGTTGATTAAAATAGAGTCTGTGATATATTCACCGGGACTGTTATTCAGTTTTTTTTAAACACACAGCAAATTATGAAACAAAATTGTCCAGTCTTAATTGATGCTAAATTAAAAGTAACAGAAATTATAGTAGCATCAACAAATATTTAAAGGTTTAACATCAAACATTAATTTGCTTTTCTTCCAACCATTTTTATTACCATTGTCTTCTTTTGCTTCATCTTGCTTAACACCATGGTATCATACCTAAAACCCAAACCTAGTGAGATCAATGCCACTAATCAAAGTTCAAAATCAAATGTAATATTGCCTTGATTGTGAACTTCGATTTTGATCAAGTTTGTGAACCAGATTAAAAGTCATTATTATATTATGATCGGGATCAAAATACTTTTTATGCATGCTTTTGATTTGATCTTATGATAAAAAAGTTGACAACATCTTCAGAGAAAAATCAGTTGTCTATTCAGACAAGTGCCAGGCACTATTCATCGATCTGTAAAAAAATTTCATTGGTACTGGACAGGCGTTAATGTCGAGCCCTGAAAGTGGCCAAAAACGATTCCACCAACACAAACAGCTGGTTTTATTACCATGCGCAAATTAAAATCATGCACAGAGAAGTGACGTTACTTAATATCGTTCATTGATAATTTTTCAGTCGAACAGAGAGCGTTGGCTCAAACAACAGTACTCCAGAGCTACCAAAGAGGCCACCTCTACAGCCATTGACTCGAAGTTTGAATTCAGCTTTTGAAGCTTATGAGAAGCCACTGTCATCTGGCATTAGGGGAACAGAAAACTTAGGAATTCCAAATTTTAGGAAGGATAGCAGTAGTACCAGGTCTAGTCCACACCCAAAGGTAATTGTAATTACTGTTTATGTACTTGTCTAGTTGGAACATCAAAGTACTTGTAATCACTGAGTATCTGTCAGGTCCAGTACAAACCCAGAGGTATTTGTTATTACTTTGTATGTACCAAGTCTAGTCCAAATGTCAAGGTACTTGTATTCTCTGTATATGTACTAGGTCTCATCCAACACTTAAATTAATTTAATAAATGTGAAGAAATTATAATTTGATTTCTGCCTTGCAGGAATTGCTCAAAGAATTTCAATTTTAGATTATGTTCAGTTATTTTAATTGCTTCTTTTTTATACACAGGGAGATCGAACATCAACCCCTGATTCTTTGATGTCCACAATAAGTCATTTCAGTAATGAGTTGACAGACATTGCACAGTCTGCAAGCACAACAATGTCAGAATTTTTTGGTAAGTTTTTTTTAATGATTATTTTAAAACTTAAGGAAAAACTTGAAACCTATCTATACTATAATAGAAATGTTTGTAAATTCAGGGCTTGCTTCATAGATACAATGTAGATGTAAATAGATATCCAGCTATAATCAATGAGAACTGAGTAGATTATTTCTTTACATTGTCGTACAAAAGCAGCTGGCTTAGAGCCACAGATGTCACACATTAAACAAACTAGAAAACAGCTGGGCCAGGAGTCCATAAAGAAAATAAAAAGAAAGCAATCAAGAAGTTGTGAAAATGTCAGGCTTTTCTGTTTACTATAGCTTCAGATGAGGAGGAGGTGCTTGAACGGAGATCAGACCCTGGTAACGACACACACACACTGCCCTTTATAGACAGCATATCAAATTGGTGTTAGGCCCCTCCCCTCTTGCTGTTTTACTCTTTTATGTTTTTCGTACATGAATATTTTATACCCTCTCTTTGCCAGTGCTTTATCTACAAAATATGTAACTATGAGACTTACATGTGAACTGTCGATTTTTACAGGTGTATTATTTCTGGAAGAGATCTTGTTCATGTTATATTTGTACTATGGATTGCATGCAGAGTATTAATGTTTGATATCTTTTAGGCATACTGGCAACATGAATATAAGGGGGCTTAAGAATTGTAAAACATTGCTTAAATTTTGTTTTTTGTTTATTGACTATATAAATAATGTAGTTGCAGTTAGATTCATTTTGTTTTATTCTCGTTAAAACTTTGTTACTAATGAGTAAAATACATATTCAAATAGAGTTTATATAATCAATGAACTTTTATCATCTGTTGAAAAAAGCCAGAGTTTAAAAAAACAATATTCTTTGAAATTTTGACCATGTAACCTAATGCTTTGAATATTTCATGAAAACGTTGATTTTCAGTATAGTTTCAAATATGGCTTGCAAGTGTGCTATTCTGTGACATTTTTATGATCTTCTAGGATCGACAAGATCACCACACACAACTCAACAAAAGTCTGCTAAACCATTTGCTCCTCTTGGTAGGTGCTTTCTTGCATTCCCCATTTTCAACCCTCTTTTGGTGCTGTACTGTTTTCTTGCACCTTTTAATTCTTTTACCATTTTTCCTTTATTAATCTTAGTAACTTCAACCTATTTCTCTGCACTTCTTTGAGCCTGTGAATATATCAAATCTTAATTGTATACTCATAAATTTAAAGAAAGAGTGCATGTGGTGATTGCAAAGAAATTGAAACAAAATGCTTCTTCCAATTTTGGTACATATATATAGAATATGTGGATAAACAGAAACAACAATTGTGAATTTTATGTTCCCAGCCCTCCTGGGGCCTGAGGATGGGGCCATAGGTTGGGGTTAAGTTGGTCATGTACTAATTCATTCTTGGACATTTAGCAAGCAAACTGAATGCATGATGACAGTAAGCTATGGGCTTTTTACTAATTGTCAAGTTTTTGTCCAAGAGCTCAGACTCAAGGGTGGGGCTCAGTTGATTATATATTTATGTTTACCCTAAAAATGTTCTTTACTTATGAACATCTAGGAGACAAGCTTCATGAATATATAATAATGAAATGTAGAGTGCTCATCAAATTCTAATATTCAAGTGTCTTGACATTCAAGAGTTTCAGTTTGTAGGTGGGTTGAGTTGGTCATAGACTGAGAAACTCATGATACTCAGGTGACTGTCAAGACCCATAATCGTCATGTTTAAGCATGTAGATTTCCGTTGTGTTTCAGTGTTAACTGTTTGACTTAAGTGTTGTTTATTTAAAAGAAAAAAATGTTTTTTATTGCTGCACAGTTAAAGAATATGTAATAGTATAAGGTTGCTTAAAATGCTACAATCATTGCATTTAATGGGAACCACTCTTGAAATTGCATGATTTAAGCTAGAACACATAACCGAGTGTGATTTTTTTTTGTTATTGAACAAATATTTATATTCAAAAAATAAATGAATGTTTTGCATAATCATATAAAAGAGACCTAAGCCCCTGTTCTTGAGGAGCTGTGATATAAGTTTGTATCTGACAATGTATTTCAGTTTGTTTTCCCCTAAAATTATACTACTGATGAAAGTCTGTGAGTAACTGATCAATTATGGAAATCAATTTTGCTAGAATTTTGATATTTAAGGAAGCACAAAAAGGGAAGAAAAAAACTGTACATCTGACATGTTTAGATATGGGTATCAAATATACTAACTAATAGTCTGAGTAGCATCTATCATTACTGTCATTGATTACAGTCCCTCATCAGAAAGTGAGTTATCAAAGGACTGTTGATTGAGAATTGGATTAATTTATGCTCTTGTTGATTTTTCTGTAGGAAATCGTAAAGCCTTGGTAGAAAAGTCGGGATTAGTTAAACATGCCACTAACAGGAAACAGAAAGAGGCTGGGGTAAAACCAGGCTCCTCAGACAACAGGAGTGTTTCTAACAGGTTTGGCTTTTCTTATCAGGTGTGAAAGATTTTCATGCTTATATTTAAATGATCTTGTTTTGAAAACTTCGATTGACTTCATTTTTTTTTAGTGAGAACCAGATGTTTCTTAAGGAAGTAGTAAACAGTGTCCTGGAGGGTCAGGGTGTCAGCTGGCTAAAACTAGGGAGGATCCGTAAATTGATGGAGGACGAGAACTACAGAAATTTCATCGTCAGCAGACTGAATCGTAACTTGGACAAGAAATTGTCAGATGATATCCCTCACCTAGAAGATGTGGTATGTATCAAAGAGTGAAGCCAGTGGAAAATTTTGAATATCATATCTTATGAAAATTTATGTCATTCATTTTATTGATTGTTTTGTGCATAATTCATGACATACCTCAGGTATTATTTTCAAAATGCTATGACAGATGCCCTTCATTTTGATAGAAAAATATTTTAGTTTGAAAATATGCTTTTTCAGCCCCTGAACAAGCCAGTATACAAGGGTATGTTGACACTGGTGAAGGCCATTATCCATGGTCTGGAGCACACCTACCAGAACCATGGACTTGGAGGCATGGCCAGTGCCTTCATGCTGCTGGAAATCATTCATACTCATTACTGGAATAAAGAAAACATTGCAGGCAGTGTACAAAGCAGTGCTCCATCTGAGGTCAGTGAAGAGACAGATGTGTACTATAGTTCTTTTGTAGTAATGTGTTGCATATACATTGTATATACATGTATACTATTGAGGAATAGCATGCATGCTGAACACTTTGTGCACATGGATGCTCTGCTTTGCAGGGGATTTCTTGATAAGATGTATATGATTTTATGAATACTGGTAAATTGTAAGAAATTCTAACCTTCAAAATTTCGGGTTGTCTAATTCAGGTTAGGTCCAAATGAACTGTGCATTAGAATTTGTATTGCATATATATATATAGTATTACTACATTTATTTTGAGAGATACATGTAGCTGAATTATTTGTCTACAATGGTTCATTTCATTAGGTGTCCTCTCCTGCTGGTAGTCCTGAGAGCTCAATAAAGAGTGAAGACTCACCACAGCAGTCAGAAACACACAGTCTACAGGACGAGCAGATGGTCACATTAGGTAAGTAATACTTAGCTGCTTGTATGGGAAAATTTTGCCTCTGTTTTTATTTTCACCCGAACCGGATAATTCAACAGTCTTGGGTATCTCTCTTTTAATACAACTATGTCTGGGTAAACTTAAAATAGGGGATAATTGTTTTGCAAGTGTGATTCGGTGAAAATAACTTGGGGCAAAAATAACCCTGTATACAATATATTTTATGAAGAACAAGCTAAAATTTATTGAAGAACATAAAATAAGTATAGGTGGTAAATCTTAATATAATTTTAAAGTAGCCATGAAATGATATATTTATACTTGAAAAATGTTAAAGTCAGTGATATTTTTATTTAACTGTTTTATTTCTTTCAATATTTGTTGTAAATTTTTAAGATTATTCATTTTCTTGGTCTTATACATATGTCACTTTAGTTAAATTGCTTATTCTTGCTTGCACCCTTTCCTATCATCATACATGTATGATATTTGGACATCAAAACATTTTAATAATACATGTAATCGAGGGAATTTACTTATTATAAAGACCGTATTTCTGATTTCAATTGTTTATTTTTTTCTTTGAACTACGGGTGAACTTTGTAACTGAATACATTTCAATGGTATAAGATCTCTGATTGGTTAATGTTTTGTATAAATGGTACAAGCTCTCTGATTGGTTGGCAGGCTCTCAACGTTCAGGGTGGTGGTCAGAACGACCCACTTCTTCCTCTGCAGCCTACCATTTTTCTGACCTTTCGACCTCTAGAACTGAACCAGGTATGTATCGACCACACACCCTAAGTGACCAATCACAGAACAGTGTGATGTCATATGATCAATGTAATAACAGATGGTGATGAAGTTTAGTTTCATTTCAGACCTTTATTTTTGTGTGTTGCATGTTGGAGTAGGTGCTTATTTCTGCTTGATTAGACTTGTGCATTTTCAGTTGCTTCTATTGCCTAGCATTTATTAACCTAGCTTTCATACTTATTTGCAATTAATTTTTGAATGATGGATTATTTCAACACTGGCTGACAAACATTTTAATTGATTTTAAGTGAAATTCTGATATGCTGTTCTGAAATACATGTATCTAGTTAGAGGACAATGTAATAAGTTAAAATGCACCAAAATGTTTCATAACATAATTTTATAAAGAAACTGTCAGCATAGTTGATTTAATCTTAGTTTATAAAATTTTATTTCATTTTCTTTTAGACCTATGTCATTTGCCACTATTTGTATCTTTTTACCTGAAGAATAAAACAGTGCTATAGGTATTTCTTGAAAAGATAGGGTTTGACTTCTTACCATAGGTTCACCTATATTGGTCAATGGAGAGGAATTTCAGAATATAGAAATTCATACAACATCAGAGAAAAGAAGAAGACAGAAAATGGTTGTGTTAGACCAGAACCGAAACACTGCTAAAATGTCACCAGGTAATTGGGTCACAGGTTATATATTATGATTACCTTTATGGCAAATGACAGCGAGATGCATTTTTTTTTCAGTTTTAGATTGTATTTTTTATTTGTTTTTGCTAGTATAGTGCTAGTTATAGCCATGCATAGAGACGGAGTGCAATATGCAAGATTAAAATGTTAGTTTAGAAATGAAACAGAAGCTTAAGAATGAATAACAGTGCAAAATGAATGTATATTTTCTATGCAGCTTTATATATTGGGAAAGCAGAGGATTTATAATGTTATATAGTTATATGGTTTGATCTTGGATCAGTTTCTTATATTAGACAGCTACTTTTGAGGTGATTTTTTTATGTAGGGCATCACTGTGATATAATTGTAACAAATTCTCCAAATGATCCTAACTCACCCACACAACTGGATGTGATGAGACAAATGGTGAAAAACAAGGAGTTGATGGGAGAAATTAACTTTGACAAGCGCTGCAGCATCGAGTCGGAAATGTCAGAGGCCAGCACTCTTATCAGCACCAGCTCAGAAAACATTGGGGAGGAGGAGGGTCGCAGGAGGAGGAGAATCAACCACCACAGCATTCGGAGTACATTGTCTGATAGCGAGATGGAAATGTCAGGGGTATGCTGTTACATATACAATTTTACTTCAGTATCTCGAACACTGATATCGCGAATACCATGGATATGTCAAAGTTATTTGGAAGTCCCAATCACTCATTCTTTAAGAATTTTTACCCTTGATATCTTAAATACTTGGATATCTCAAAGTCCTTCATTGGTCCCATCGAGTTCGAGATAATGAGGTTTGATTGTATTTAAAAAAGAACACAGTCGATCGGTTTGGTTGTTTTTAGGGTATCAAGAAAGTGGATGGTTTACAGCCTTTTTCCTCCAATGTTTGTCTTAAAAAACATTAATTTGAGAAGTTACCTTTCTTTAATTACAAGTTTTGTCATAAAATTTGTCAACTAGGGGGAAAAATATAATCATGAGATGATTTGAGTTTTTACCCTCAAACCATTCTGTTTCATAGAAAAGAGAATGTAGTGTGGAGATCTATAAATTGTAGGTAGTGAACTATAACAAGAAAAATAGGTCACCAGGGACCTGGACCAGCAAGAGCAATCTAAGTACAGGTTATCGTTATTACGATGGAAAAATGGTCAACACTTCACCAATTCCACACTCAAGTCACAGTCCAGAAAATGCCAAACAGTACTTATTTGAGGCTTTGATTGGTAAGTCGCAATTTATCTAGAGAGTGTACATGTATATGTTTACGTTTTTTTTTCTGAATCTATTTTTTCCCCAGATTCCAACAGAATTACGTGGTAGTGTTATTTTAGACATACAAATTTGGAATTTTTTCTTGTGAATTTTCAGGAAAAGATCGCAGCCGTTTATGGGATCAGATGCAGTTCTGGGAGGATGTATTTTTAGATGCAGTGGCTCAGGAAAGAGATATCATTGGAATGGATCAGGGTCCAGCTGAAATGATTGACAGGTAAATTTACAGTTTTTCCAACAAAATGATATAATAATTGTCAAATGGTCACAAGTCTGTAAGTTTATTCAAATTTTTAATCCTTCTTTGTAACACTTTTATGTTAATTGTCTTATGTGGAAGTTATTCTTTCTGTTCTTAGGTATGTGTCATTGGGAGACTTGGAAAGAAAGAGGTTGGAACACGATGAGGACAAACTGCTGGCCCACATGTTGTACAATATCACAGCCTTTATGGTGATGATGAGAGTGTCCAAGACAGAGGTCAGGAAGAAGATCCGGAGACTGCTGGGGAAATCCCACATAGGACTGGCCTACAGTGCAGAGGTCAACAATCTCCTGGACCAGATAGGGAACCTGGTAAACTTGTTATAATAAGTGTTTACAATATCCAACTGAACAAGTGTCAAAACAGATGAGATAAGTTGAAGATATGACTGTAAAAGTGACTTTATGCAGAAAAATGAATCATTATGTTTTAGATATATTTTAAAAATTTCAATTTAAATATATATATGATAATGTAATTTTGTGATTTTATGAGGGGAAAGTGGTCAAATTGAATGGGGAGGTTAGGGTATTGAAGTTCATGACATATAGTCCAATTCTCTTTTTCAGCATGGAAATGACATTGATTTGAGGCCTATGCAGAGCAGATTCATGCAGAAACAGTCTTTCACAGTCCACTGGGGAGGTGATAACACAGGGGATATGTTATTTATGGAGGTACAACTTTATATTTAGAGTAGAGATCACTAAACATGGTTATCAAGGTGCTCAGGATTTGAAAAATGTGGAGGAAAAGTGATTAATAATTGTTGAAAGATTAAGTTCAGGTTAAAGATACAGCTGAACTTCAGTATCTCGAAACACTGATATCTCAAATACCATGGATATGTTGAACTTATATGGAAGTTCCAACCATTTATTCTTTAAGAACTTTACCCTTGATATCTGGAATCCTTGGATATTTTAAAGTTTTTTCACGGTCCTATCGGTTTTGAGATAATGAGGTTTGACTGTATTGTATTGAGGTGATATAATAATTCTTCCTGATTTCTTGAATCTTTCATGAATTAAATTTTGTTACGTGTATTTCAGTATATAAAGTTGAGTATTCATACATGTAAATTGATATTTTAATCTTTTATTATATACCCAACTGTGTCTCACTCAATTTTACTGTTGAATTCATGAAATTTTACTGTTGAATTCATGAAAACACATGACGGTGTGATCCGACTTTCCGGATCACCACACTGATTTTCTGAATCCATATCACCACTCTCTGAAACTGATGACATAGTACACAATTAAAATGACGTTTTTTTCTTGCGTGTCAAAATTGTTTTAATTTTATGGATAAAAGTTGTATAATTGATTCAGAAAGTTTTTCAATATTACATTTTGCTAATTATAGAGGGGTATATAATAATTTTATCATTATAACAGTAACTTGATCCGAAGAGCCGTATCACGTCTCGTTGACGTGATACAGCACTTTGGATCAAGTTACTGTTATGATAATATATATTTATTTACATTGTTTTAGGTTTGTGATGACTGTATTATATTGAGGAGTGTGACAGGGGCTATCTGTGACAGGTGGTGGTATGAGAAACTCGTCAACATGACTTACTGCCCTAAAACCAAAGTCCTGTGTCTGTGGCGGAAGCATGGGGAGAAAGTCCAGCTAAACCAGTTCTATACAAAGAAGGTGGGTGGTTCTTCTGAATGTATTCATACGTGTAATACCACATAATCTGATTTGCTGGTTACTGAGAAACCATACTTATTTTAAACTAATACTCAACCAGTTTTCTGTATTTCACATTGTTTAAAAATGTTATTTTATTTTCTCATTTAATCGAAGTGAAATACATGTATATCAGTTTTTTTTTTATGGTTTGGAAAAATTACTTCTGCATAATGTTTGAAGATGATTGAAGTAGACAACTTTTTCTTTAAAAAAAAAATGCTCACTGTACAAATATGTATAAATCCTTTTTACATCTGAAATGTTGTTTTCAGTGTAGGGAACTTTATTTCTGTGTCAAAGAATCTATGGAAAAAGCAGCAGCAAGGAACAATGGAAAATTACCAGGTAATGGCAGGTATTCAGACTTGGGAGGAACAAACCATGTAATGTTCTAACATACTTCATAACAACTACCCGGTATTAAGGGGGAGGGGTTACTTTGACACACTCAAAGGGATTTTGTCTTGACATTTTGAATTTTAATTTCATAAATCATACTAAAAAGTAATAACTAATTAATTTTAAAGGTGCTAGTGTGATTTATTATAAAAAAGAAACAATGTTTCAGGACCAGAGCTTGGTGGGGAATTCCCTGTCCAAGACATGAAGTCAGGACAAGGAGGTCTTCTCCAAGTGTGCATGGAAGGCATTGGATTACTCTTGGCCAATAGCAAGGTGAGGTGATGCTAAATAAACCAATCAGTAAGCTTCTTACAATTCTTTTGTCTCTCCAGTGAAATTCTTAACATGAAGTTTGTAGTTTCGGTATTGGCAAGTGCTCATTTTATGAATTCTCGCTAAAACATCTATATATTTAACATTTATGTGAACAAGCTGGAAATGTCATCAATGGGTGTTATATATTATATTGCAGAACAGCTGAATAATATTTAAAATCATTTTAATAACTTTAAGTGGAGGACTTCAGTTTGAGCAATCCATGCTATTGTAATAAATAAAAAATACCACTTGCCAATAATTGTGAACACACGTAAATGCACTTTTGTTGTACGATTGTCTTCCCCAACATGTAAATATGTGAAGAATGTAACTGGGATGGCAATACAATCAGTGAGGCACCCAGTCACATGTACCACCAGCTGACCTTCAGCTTAAACATTGACTGTCAAAGTCGTTAACTAAAATTGGCAGTGAGGCTGATGATTAAGTTTGGTTATATGGTGATGCGATGCTGGCATTCTGAACATGCATGCTGTTGTCCAAAGACAGCTTTATTCGTTGTAAATAACTAACCTTTTCACTACTGGCTGTTGTTTTTTGTACTGTTTGAGATTTTTTGGTACAATTTTTTTTACTTTTAAAATTTATTCTGTCCTTATTTGGTATTGGTATTTTAACCAAAAGCATATGTTAGCAGCTATTCTGGTTTTATTTTATCTTGGAAATTTGAGTATCACAAAAATTCCTCATTCCTTGATATTTGACCCCACCCAATTTTTCTATGTCTGAAAAAAAAAAACAGTTGAGGCATATTTTATGAATAACCTCTCTTTTTTTGGTGGGGGGGGGGGGGGGGGGATCTACATATCCAAATTCAACATTTGTCGTGCATGTAGATGGTGAACTTGACCCAGAACTTAGATATTGATAAAAGTCAAGGTCATGACTACAAAACTTACACAGAATTTTTTTTGTTTCAGTTCAACTGAAATATGTACTGTACCATATTGAAATGGTTATACATGTAGCTGTAATGCATCATGATTTAACTGAACAATGTTAGCATGTCTTGCACACATTTGCTTCACTTATTCTACTTCATATACATGTATGAATTACGTTACACATTGGAAGTTTGTGTGATTTTTCATAATTTTCAATGGTTAATATTTTCCCTGTGAACTGAAATAAAAGATCAATGAAATCATTTGAACATGTTATCTTTTTGTGTCCAGCATTTTATTTGTGAAATGTGAACTTGTTGTTTGTTTTTCAGTATTGTTTATCCTTCCCCCTTTTTCTATTTCTTGAATGAACGTTCAGTGTTACTGAAAAAGTCTTAAAGAACGGCAGCATTTGTTTGTTTGTTTTTATTCCTCATTAAAATATATTGACTTTGCATTTTAATTATTTCATAATGTGACTGTAGCTAATTACTATGGTTTTAAATGGTGTAAAAGATTTGATTTTAAATCGTAAAAAAGATGGTACAAAACATTTACTGTAATTTTATATCATAGCTTTGTATTGCAATAATACAATGTGGTGGGGGTTGACATTGACCCAGGGAGGTCAAGGTCAAACTTTAATGCTGTTGTTTTATTTAAGGCTGTTTTATGAATAGAAATTGCATTTTAAAATATTTTCTCTTTTTATGTCTCTTTGCTATCTTCTCCATGGTATAAAGGACTTTGAGGTAAATGTCGTCAATGAAGTGTTTTGCAAGATATGATAGTGATATTTTTGTTTTTGCCTCTGAATATTGATTAGATATGTACACTTTTTTGAGTGCAATACATTTCATGTACATAGATAACCAAAAGAAGAATGGCACAAAAAAGAAACACCGAAAAACAAAATAATGTTCATGCACTATAGGTTTAATGCCAACATTTTGGTATCGTAAGATTTTTTTTAATTATATGAAGTGTGTTGCACAAGTGAACAAAATTTATTTCCTGCACTATGATATGACAGTACTTGATGTTGTGTGACACTGATAGATATTTACTTGTGTGTTTCCAGATAGTCTTAGAAAATTTAGCCTTTTGTTTACATTATTTCTTTTTATTCTCCTCCCTTACCAAATCCATTTTTGGAATATTCAGAGTGACTGACACACTTTCGGACAGTGTGTAAAAGAGACACAAAAAAAATGTGTTCAGCCAAAAAGATAAAATCATCAAGAAAACAGTCCCTTTACTGCCATATTTAGAATTCACAGCTTGTGTAAAAGTGTGCTTTAACATTTTTCTTTCAGTTATTTATTGAGCTAGGTCGAATCAAGAAATGTTTCACCCAGAAAGGCGGGATTTTTGTATTAGAGGAATTTGGTAAGGATTTCCCAGCTCTTGTTTCTTTTCTTTTAATTCATTTTCGTTGTGTGTTATGACCTTCCTTGTTGATATTGTTGGATGTTAATGCTCAGCTGTCTAGCACTCATCTTGAAGCATTGCTGAAAAAAAAAATCCATTTCTTCTGGCAATGGTTCACGATATATCCTACTGCTAATAGATTTGCTTTAGAAGTTACAGTGATTGAAAGCATTTATGAAACTTTTCAGCATTGTTTCGATTTTTTTTTTCTTTCGGAGAAAGTTATATTCAAAAATTGTTTTCAAAATTTCTTGTAAAAATTTGCACAAAATGTGATACTTTTCTTTTAAGTGTTAAGAGGACTGCGCAAGCACAAAACTGAAAAAATTAAAGATTTTGAATGGGATAGGTTGGAATTTGATAAATATTACATTTTTTTAAAAATATCATTTTAAGTAAATAAAATTTGGGTTTGTCAAAAAATGCATGAATTGTTAACAAAAATGAGATTTTTTTTAAAGCATATATATGTATTTTTGATGTTGTAATTTTAAATTTGATACAACCTAATAAAAACTAGAGAATTTTTCTACTTTGTTCCTATTTGACATAAATGAATGGGGAGCAAATCAAAGATCTAATTGTAATTAGATTAATTTTATTTTTCTTACAACTTCTGTGTATTTATGTAAATAAAGAGAAATCATTTGGGAACATTATTAAAAATCTGCACTTCACTTGCCAATTAAGGGTAAATTACATTAATTTTTTAGATCATGTGAAATTTCTTTGAAAACACACTTCTCCTAAAAAAAAAAAAAAAATAAATAATAATTTTGAGGTGAAATGGATGGAGGATGCAAAGACTCTTCTTAAAAGATGTAGAAAAAGAATAAACATTATTTTTCTGCATGGATGTTCATACCTAATTTTGATGTTGACTCTTTCTACTTTTCATTTTCAATCTACGCTAAAATGGGTCATATACTGTACCACTGGAAGTTTCAGTGTATGATGACATAAATTCATAGGTACATGCAAATTGTTCCTGTTTGTGCAATTCCTGGAAGAAAACAGAAAAGTAAAAAAAACTGAAAAAGAAAAAAAAGGAATATCATAAATAATGTTCTCAATGCGAAGTCTATTATTTCTGCATTGAATTTTACATTAAACATTTGTGTTATAAATATGGAAAACATTTAAACTGATATTTTCTATATGTTTCATTTCAACCTATTTTTAGATTCCAAGGATCGGCAAGTAATTCAACACAAATTCAAGTCCAGAATGGTAAGATTCTGACTTAATTTTGCCATGTTATGTTGTTACTGCTTATTTGTAACAATTCTAAGAAAATGATCTGACAGCAAGACAAACTCATTTCAAGTACATATTGTTCCAGAGGTAAAAAACAGGTTTGTGATTATTGAACCAGCCTTTGGATTAAGCATGAGATGAAAAATAATTCTTAAGCATGCAATGACCAATGAAAACATCAATACAACTAAGCTTCATCTACACTTAAAGTTTTTTTTATTTTAAAGACATACGTTAAAATTTTTCTTTATAATTATGACACTATAGAATTGGTGTATGATTAACAATTACAGACAGACATACAGTTCTTTGTTTGGTACTGGCATTATTATATAGAATGTTGTCTGCATGTTATGTGTCCTTGTTTCTACAGGCCAATCAGCTGGCATTCATGGTTCATCGCATCTTTACTGTGCAGCATGCCCGCTTAAGATCATTGAAAGAAATAGAAAGTCCCTCTGGCAGTATGCTATATTGTTTCAAATCTTTGTTTTATATTAACAAGTTGAATTACTAACAACACCAAAGTTTTAATAACAGTTTTCAAATTAATTTCCATTAACCAAGATGAACTAATACTTCAAAACACTTTTTCAACAAATATGCAGACTTTTTCATCATCATTTTTTTTTACATGAAATGTGGCCTTGATATTCTGTAAGTTTATAGCTACAGTAAGAGATTTAAATAAGTTTGGCTAAATTTTTAAAGTTTTGCATTAGTTTGTATGAATGCATAGCATCTAAATAAGATAACTGATAAATTACAGATTTTTTTTTTTTTTTTTTTTTTACATTTAAACATTACATAAATGATTGGCTAAAGAAGTGTCTTAATATAAGACTTGATACAAGGAAGAAAAATTCACATCGAGTCCATTTATGCAGACAAAGTTAAGCTACACCATGCTTGACTATGAATTATCCCTACCTGTTCTTTCACTTACATTTATTTTTGAAATCACATTTCTCCATTTAAAAAAAAAAATTTTCTTAGTTCATATATATACTTTACTCACTGCTTTTCTCTTTGTCATACAAAATAAGAATTCATATTTAAAAAAAAAAAAAGAGGCCCATGGGCCACATTGCTCACCTGAGCACTTTGGCTAGGAAAAAGCAGAAATTAGTTCTTTATTGAAAAGTTTAAATATGTAGGTAGTCCCAACCTATTAAAAAGGGAGGCATAATTTTTCAAACTTAAATCTACACTAACTGAGGATGCTTCCATATTTCTTAGACTAACCATAGCTTTAAAAGATTTTTTTTGCTTTAAGTTTTATCTTCTATTGTGGCCTCTGCCTACCCCAAGGGTCATTGATTGATTTGAACAATCTAGAATCTACAGTATCTGAGGATGCTTCTTTATTAATATGACTATTTATGGCTTTTCTGTTCTTGATAAAATGATTTTTAATGACCTTTCTATATAATTCTATGTATAAATATGATCCCCTGTTGTGGCCCCTTCCTAACCTGGGGGGTCATGATTTGAATAAATTTGAATCTACACTTCCTGAGGATGCTGCCTTTACTGTTCTTGAGAAGATTTTTCCTATGTATTCCTATGTAAAACTTTGATGGCTCATTGTGGGCCAAGCCTATCCATGGGGGTCATGATCTGAACAAACTTGAATCTACACTACCTCAGGATGCTTCCACCTAAGTTTCATCATTCCTGGCCCAGTGGTTCTTGAGAAGATTTTTAAAAGATGACATTAATTTTTCACTAATTCATAATTATCTACTCTTGGAAGAAGGTGTGACCCTTCATTTAAATCCCCTTTACCCAAGGATACTTTGTATCAAGTTTGGTTGAAATTGGGCCAGTGGTTCTGGAGAAGAAGATGAAATTGTAAAAAGTTTACGACAACAACTACAAAAACAACAGACAACGGACAAATTTTGATGAGAAAAGCTCACTTGAGCCTTTGGCTTAGGTGAGCTAAAAAGGGAGTTTTATTTCTATATCTTTTTCAAAAAGTATTCACATATACAGCAGAGTGCACTTTTCTTTGCTTTATTTAACATGTCGTGTGATTCCAGCTGACTGCAGAAAAGTGTAAAGTGTTGATTTAGATGGACTGATAATAACTATTTTGTCTGCAGTGTTTAACATTTTATTGCTCACATTAATCTCTGTTTGAATATCAATTTTGATGCAGACACTAGATTAATTCAAAGTCACCTAGGTTATACATTAGATAATAACACTTGTATTAAACCTGTTTTAACAAGGTATGAAAATTTAGATTGTGAATTCAGTTCATTGTGATGGGGAAAACAATTTTTTTTAATCCAATAAGAATCGAAATACAGCATGCTGTTTAATTTTGCCTGGCAAAAAGTTGTTTTCGGACTAATCTGGTGCAAATAGAGAATTCTAATAAAATTGATAAATTTTTGGAAAAATTTTCAACTTCATGCATGTTTGAATTTATAGAAGAGAAATTAATAAAAGAGAGAATTAATGGATGGAGCTCTCTCTCTCTCTTTTAACAATTTAAAACACTGCAACATGATTAGCAGATATCATTGGGCAAAATTAGCATAAGGTGAAAATAAACCTGTTTATGGTATATATGTGTATAACAAGCTTGGATTGTGTGAAGTTGATGAAGTCTTTTTTTTCTTTGCAGGCTGATCAGATTTGTTATGCTGTCCTCTGTGTTTTCTCCTATGTTGCAGCAGGAATGGAGCAACAACAACAGCAACGAAGGCAGACTTAATAGGTTATAATGCTCTCCAGTCTGATTTGTTTACAAGAGCCTGATTATTAGAAGCAAAATGATCTGCTGTAAAAGATTTTATTTTTTCCTTCTTGAGGTTCTAATGTGAAATGACGACTTATTTACAGTTTGTTCATATAATTTTTAATAAGAACGAAATATAAAGGATCTCTTGCCAAAACATGCAGATTAACTTTTTATCTACGCTTCCATTTTGGAAAAAAAAGCTAAAATAATCTTAATACACATATGTACCTCATTTTCAGATTAACAAATTGCTCAAACATTCAGTCATTTTAATATGACAAATAATTTTATTCCAACATATTTATCGAATTATGTACATTTATATCCAGTGTGCCAGAAGTTCTTAAAATATCCTAAAAATTTTTTGAAGTGATTTTTGATAAATTTTGCCAAATATCCTGTAGCATATGGTACTGGAATCAAATGGATGGAAACTTAAGTTGAAGTTGATTCATGTGTAAGGGACAATTCCATTAATGACAAAGAAAACAGGTGTCAATGTTGCATGAGTTTAGACGTGTGAAATTCCTTATATTTTGCAGTTTCTATTCTTTTTTTTTGAAATGTGCATAAGCCATTCCCCCTATATTTTGAAACATTGGTTAGTATATTGCTCAGTTTCCAACAATTAAATTCCCATTTTAAAACAGTAAAACATTAAAATTGATAATAGAATTAATGAACCACTTTCATGCTATGAAACATAAATAAAATGAACAGTTTTGTATCATGTGAACTGTTTGAAAATGGGAGTCTTCCATATGAAATATAGATTATATGTGTATTGGTCTAAGGGTACAACTGTCAATTTCTATCACTGACATTGTAAAATGTACAAGTGTTAATTTGAATGAAAGCTCACTTGCTTCTCTGCTATGTGAGAAAAAGAATTGATATTCTTATCTGTCACTTAAATAATTAATGGGTTATTTTTGTATGACTCTTGAGAAGAATTTATTTTTTCACTTGATAAAGATGATAGAATTTATTTTTTTCACTGTGTATTGTCTGTCTTCATGCTGTTGTTGTTGTTGCCGTGGATACAGAGGACCTGTTCTGATTGGACCTGTCAGTCAACTCAAGATGGAGGATATAAGGACTTCATCTTTGTGATAATTTTCAAAGTGTATTTAGATAAAACTGGACTTGTTACAATAGTTTAACCAATGGTGAAACAATATATCTGCACAGTATAGATTTCAGAGAATCTCCTTAAATTTTCAATAGTTTATATGGAATTTTTCCCAAATTTTAATGGGTTGGAATCTCAGTGACTTTGTCTTTTGTGATTTTTTTTTTAAATTAACTGAAATGTGTTCTTTGACAATTCTTTGTTGGGTAACGCCAAAGGATCTGATAGATTGCATTATTTATACATTTTAATTTGATGTTGTTGGCCAATACTGGAAGATTAAATCAAAAAGTAATTAAGTTTTAAGCATGTAAAGTCTGGTATGAAATAAGATTTTTGTAAAAACCAAAGAAAAAAACAATGATGCCTTGAAGTACACTGTTCAGCTCACCTGAGCCAAAAGGCTTGAGTCAACTTTTCTGCCCTGCATTTGTCTGTTGTTTGTTGTAAGTAAGCTACATTTTCTTCAGCAGTATCACTGGGGAATTTCCAAAATTGTCACAAAGCATTTTTGGTTGAAGAGAAGACAAGTTTGTTCATAGGGAGGGCCTTTGTGGCTAGGGTGGGATTGCAGTAGGGATCAGACTTTTACATTAGAATATATAGTGAAAATTTTCTGAAGAACAGCAGGGTCACATTTAGACATATTGATATGCAAGCATCTCCATGTAATGTAGATTCAAATTTCACCAAAACACAACCACAGGGCTAGGGTTAGACAATATTAAAATGGACTTTTAATTTGTTTGAAATTAAATTAAAATTTTTTTTCAGGAACAGTATGACCATTATTAGTTAAATAAATATAAAAAAATTTACATGCTAATTGTTCAAATCATAGCCCAAGGGACTAGATTTGGGCAGCCAATGGGGAACAAACCTTTTTTAATAGAAACACTTAGATAAAACGCTAAAATTTGTAAAGCTGACATCAGATTTCAATATACTGCAAGTTAAATTGTTCAGATTGGAAGGTTGTGGCTCAGGTGAGCATGAAGTATAGGAACTCTTCTTTATGCATATGTTACTAGTTATAAATTTGCAGTAGAATGCACTAAAACACTTGACAAAACTTAATTCAGGTGGGGATGAAAAAAAATGAAAACAAAAAATTAGACTTTGTATGACAGGCTCTCAATATTGGTTGAATTCTGTGAATATTATTTATTGCTGTTTTATATGCAAAAATAGAGTTGAAGTTGATGTATATTATTATAATTTGTGATATAATGTTATGGTTGTAGATATAGCTTTAAGTCCTTCTTCATACATGTAATGTGTTATTTAATTTGTGTGTGAAAGTATTATGTGTGACGATGTTATGATTATATGTACATGTAGGTGTGCAGGTGTAAGCATACACAGATTTGGCTGTTATATACATTTATACAACTGGTTTATTTCTACATTCCATATGAAATCCATCTGCATTCCATTTTGCTTTCCTCCCAAATTTTTAGCAAACAGTGGGTATTCAAATTTTTTTTATATAGACCATATAATTTTTTGTTAAATTTTATGTTTACATTGTTGAAATCCATGTCGGAATACACTTTCTGTACATTCCTTGAATATTATTAAGACACTTATTCATAACTTACTATTCAGGGTATTGCACATGCAATTTTAAATGCATTACACATTTAAAATATTCCATATTGCAAAATCAAACATTTAATAGAATTAAATATCTTGTACACTGTGTGGTGTAGCCACCTTGCATGCATCTTCAAAGGAATTTTTCATGTGCTTGTTTGTTTTGAATTTCAATTGTTACTTACATGAAATTTTTGTTACATAAAGCTGCATGTTACATGTGTATTTCTGTCAGGGGAAGTTGAAATAATTTTTAGATTCTTATCAATTTAATAGGTTTGAATACACACCCTTAAAAACTTCAGTTATGAAGTGTTATTACCTCAAATCAGCACGGAAATTTGCTTTAAATTATCAATTAGTACTTGGTTGTAAAGTATATTTTACATTTCTTCTATGTTTATTTGATTATTGAAGGCATTTTGAACTTTAATTTGGTGGCATTAAAACTTGTGCAATATATGATATTTTGGTATCCTCTTTAATAATTCTGAAATCCATGAGCAGGCATATTTTAAATATAGTTTGTTGGTGTCTTTTTGACACATTGTGAAATTAGAAATAATGACTTTATGATCAGATATTCAACTGCTTGTAAAGCAGGTGTACCAACATTGATAGAATTTTAGGAATTGATAAAGCACCAATTTTTCTGAACATAGAATTCTAAGATTTGATTGGATGTGTGTGGGTGCCACTGTGTAGAGATTTGTTCTAAACTAAAGTAACATGTGCAATAATAAAACTGTTATCTTTATTTCTGAGTTTTACTGTTTCTTTAAGAGAGAAAAAAATTTGTACATGTAACACAGTATCAGGGTAGAGATTTGAAGTATGCAAAAATCAAAAAAGAAGTTGACAAACTTGTCTGTTCAGGGTATTGTGTATGATTTTATGATATACCCTGTATAGTTTTATGATTATTTAAAATAATACAACAATCATCTAAACTTTATTAGCTCTAATGAGTTGAAAACTCAAACAGATAATGCTATGGCCATTTGTGCAGTTTTTTTCTTGAGAACACTGTGGCCATTTTTAATTTTTGAGCAAAGGACTTTCATTTATTTTAATGATAGGGGTGTGACCCTTAAACATGGGGAGACAATTAGGGTAATATATACAAAAGGTAGTGGTTGCTAATAGATCTTTTCAAGAACAACTGGGAGATTATCACCAAACACATATATATATGATGTAGATTAAAAATTGTTCCAAGACATCACCCTAGGGCAAAGGGCATGACATTAAAGTCACTTCAGAATTGAACTAAATGACATTTTATTGAAACTTTCAATATATTACACATTATGATGATTAGGATCATCAAATCTTGTCAGTTAATGCATTTTGGGATTTTGGCATATAAACCAAAAGTAGGTCATAGTGACATACTTTTTGAATTTTGCAGCTATTCATTTTTGAGTTGTTTTATATGCATATCTTGGATGTGATTTCAAATAAAAAGGAGGTCACACAAACACCTACTTTCTAAATTTTACAGGTATTCATTTTCAAAACATTTCAGCTAAACATCTTGGATACAATGATGATTACAAACTGTTAAAGTAGATGCATTTTGTGGCATTGCGATATGCTGGCTTTAAAGTAGGTCACAGTCAATTAATTTCTAATTTTTATGGCTGAACATTCTGAAACTTACTTTGAACATTATGGGGAGGGGCGGGGGGCACCAAACCTAGATAGTTGATGTACCTTGGGGCACAGGGATGTTTTAACCCTGAAGTAGGTCACAGTGACCTACATATTAAATTTTTCAAATCTTTCAAGGTTGGATACTAAAAAACCCTGTCATTTGTTAGGCTTTTTGACCTCAGGATATATGGACTGAAAAGTAGATCACAGTAACAGTATTGTGTAATTTGTAAGAAAAGCGATTCTAGGCCCTTAGACCTTCTGTTCTAAATGACATTCATCCATATAGTTGAGAACCCTGAAATGCAATAATTTGAAGCAGAATGAGTTTTCAGTCTTCAATAATTATAAATGATTAATGTTTGGTTGGTCACTACATTCTAGAACAGGAACACAGAAGGTAAAACGACAAAACCAAAATCGTTGATTAAATTGGGTCACTAAAAGACTGGAAATTCTGGAGTGTAGATGAATCGGTTATATAGAAACTCCAAACAAAATCATATATTGTATTTCTGTCATTTGATGCAGGTGCATTGATTTTTATCATAATTGATATAATGTCATTATTAATGGTAGTCTTGA